GAAACAGGCTACCTCGCGATCACCGTTGTGAAATGGCTTCATTGAAGGCCATTTCCGTCGATAGCGCGAAAACCAAGCGGCCATGTCCGGGTGGGACTTGTGGCAGTTAGCTTCCCATACCTCAACTTCTCAAGGCAGACGCAGTGGATGAAAAGGAGCTCTGGAGGCTGTTAGTGGCTTTTTACCCAATCCGTGTTGGGCCCTGCTCTTGCGTATATGTTTCTTCAAGTAGCGCCGTGGATCATGACCGGCCGTTCCGTTCCTACGGTGCAAGATTTTATCGACGACCGATTATAATGAGCAGCAAGGCTTGACCTGCTTTCTTGCCCATGGCAGTCCTCTCGTCTAGAAGCCTCGAGGCCAGGGCTATGGTGATGCTGGCAACCCGGCTAACCAAGGGCAGTAAAACGTCCCAGCAGCCCGGCTCGTGAGCAACGGTGGCTGGCGCCAGTGCCGTTGAATCCTAGCCAAAATGGCAGCTAGGCCAATCAACAGCTGTCCCAGCTGGCTGTCTCAGCGTCCCAACTGCATGGATCCGGAATCTGATTCGTAAAAGGACTGCGGGCTGCATTTCCGATATGGGTATTTTCTCTGGGGCTTCATTTAACAAACAGCAGAAAACCCCCTTCTTGCCCGGTCGCTGTAACGCGGATTGAATGAGCAGCGACATGCCCTCCGTGATCCATCTTTGCGTCGTTCTGTGGGATCTTTGGGGGAGTCCTCGACACGAGACAGAGACAGCCTGGGACAATAATGCGGTCGATCGCGATGTGGATTTGCGTCCGAAGCCCACTCGGACCCGCTAACGCCAGCTGGCTTCGGAGCATCAGATATTACCCAGTTGTGAGGGCATGTGGCACTGCGGCATGCGAAGACGCCGTCTTTCCAGGTGTCCTGGACGATCAACTGAAGTCGTCATCGTTCTGTCGGTCTGCTTGGGAGCCAAGACGTGGCCACTGATGTCGCTTCCAAAGTTCCAAAGATGGCTCGGTTCCGTTGACGGTCAACGCTCCGGACAACCCGACCACTTCCAAGGGCAGGCAACGCGCATCGGTCGGATTCCACCCGACGCCGGCTCAAAGTATTGTCAAATCGACTGCAATGGCAAAGGCTGTGCGGCCCTTCGCAAATGTTCAATTACCGTGTGAAAGCCACTGAGTCAGGAACCCGGCAAGAAAAGCAACGCCAGCTGTGTGATTGCTGCGTTCGTCGTTTCTTCGCGCCGACGAGCTGGTAAGCCGGGCGGTTCGTCCCACCCGCTCCCGTTTGTGTTCTGCCCGCGTGTATGTATACATACGGCCAACATAGCTGTGGGGAAGATGGATAACACCGCCTAGCGGGAGGATTGCCCCAGCAGTGCCATTCCGCCGGGTGCATACGTTCCTCGACAGGCCGCTGAAACCTCGTCTCCCTACCGACCTTGAAGGGGGCGGGCGGAGCTGTCCGACTTCTCCCATGGTCGACTGCGATGGTTGGGCATCAACTATTGCGAATATCTGGATCGGATCTTTTTATGCCGAACCCTGGTCGCTGATTGGCTCAACGGACGATATACCCCGAGATCCAGCCAGCCCTCTTCGGCGAGCGACATGGCCTCGTCGGCGAAGGGTAAGCCACTGTCGGATTGCGCTGGGTTATCAGATTTGGCTGTGACTCTGGTGGATAAATAAAGAATCGCGAAGTTGTTGGAATCGTCGGCATATGTTTCACGAACTTGTCCGTCGGTTGGAGGCGGCCCAGGGGGTGCTGTACCCTGCGTGCGTTCGAAGCGGGCGGCGATGAGCTCGGCATGCAGACATGAAGCGCAGTCATCGGCGACGGTTCCACGTCTCCTGAAGAAACACGCTCACCGATCGGCTGACCGGTCAATCGATCATCGTTCCTAGTGGCCATCTCCACTGCGTAGCATCCCCCGTCTGCAGGATCGCCCCATGTTGCCGTTCATTTGGGTGCCGACCCCATCTCCAGCAGCGGCATCAAGCTGCACTTCGAAGTGGTCCAGCCAGGTGCGGAGACACCGAGTAATGAGTGCCCGTTGGCAAGGCTTCGGTTTCGGTGGCAGGGTATCGAGCCAAACTGCCGAGGCAGTGCCCTCCCGACTCGCGATAGCCTTACGGCGTCGGGCCGGACGGCGAGAGACTGCTGGGCATTACTACCAGCGACTCCATCGTGAAGGCGAAAGAACGAAAGCGTGTGGCAATACTGACCTCGGGCCAACAATGGCCGGTGCATAGCTTGGGTCGTGGCGGCAAGTGTTCGAAGTGTCGTTCAAATTTCGTCAAAAAGGGGCAGTCGGTTGGGACTGGAGCTCGTGGCGAGGAAGACATTCGGTCGAGTTGTGTGGATGCCCTTGCATAATTGAATGGAGGCGAGGACATTGATCAGCCGACTCGGTTTGTGTCAGTCTTGTTGTCTTTATCCAGAATCGATCCTTCTGGGGAGCAGAACATGCATCGAGTGTGGTCTGTGACCGCCAATGCTGAGGACCCGTTAAGGCCGAATTCGGCTCCTGAGGTCGTCCAAATTGACTTCTCGCATACCCTCTTTTTCGTGATGTTGACGGTCTGGGCAAGTTGGCATATTTGGTCCAGGAGCGTCGGGGGTCGACTGAAAGTCTCGCCTTGGTCAAAACGTGGCTGGAGGATGACATCCCGGAGTAGGTTCGCGCGCTGGTATCAACGGTGAGATGTTTTGGAGTCAAAATGTTTTTTACGACGTCTCTCGGTCAGATATGATCACTGGGCGGTAATGGTGATGCTGAATGTTGGAAGGAAGCTGCAGCCTTGCGCCTTCCTTATGGATGCATAATCCAAAACCCTTTTGTAGAGGGAAGTCGCCCAACGGCCGCTTTCCTTCCGTCATTGTCACATCCACAAACTTGGCAGGAGCGTCTCAACTGAAATACACAGACAGTCAAACCTAAGGCGTCTGTCTACCTACAAGATAAGTAGGTCGGTTCTATTATCCGAGTAAACATAGATAGTGTGCGGAAAGCAGTGTTGCTTTGATACCACTTCTGCTATCATTGACAAGGAGTTGAGGATATTACCTTACACACAGTCTCCAACTCCCCAGACTATCCGCATATCTCAATATATCATGGTGAAGTCGGCGTCATTTCCCGCGTACAAGCTAACTACTGGAAGCAAATGGGCTGTTGGCCAGCGCGTGCCTGATATCCTCTGCTGAAACGCTCTTCTTAAACAGACTCGCCCAGCTACTCAAAATGTCGAAATGAAAGTCTTGAAATGCCTTGAGCTGAAAGAAGTCGGGAAACAAATGAGGAATGTTTGGGTATACCATTAACTTGGTCTCCACCTCCGCCTCCCTCAACGCCCTCTCATAAATGAGGCCGTCATCTCTGAGGGGATCCGCACCGCTGACCTGTATGTATGTCGGCGGCATTCCACGATGCGGGTTCTTGGCGTTGAACGGAGAAAAGTCCCGGGACTTGAAATCAGGCTCATAGGCGACGTTGAACATGTCCATAGCCTGCTGATTCAACCCAGGAGCCCCGGCGCACTGGTCTCTTGAGAAGAAGACGTCTTTGTACTTCGCGGGGACCACCTCGGGCTCGAGAGTCCATGGAACGCCAAGCCAGAGCCCCGTGACGGGAGGACTTAGTCCCTCGTCGAGTGCCTTCTGCGTTGTGACCGCGGCCAAGTTTCCTCCCGCCGAGACGCCTCCTACCACAAATCCTGCCGCCAGGTCGACCTGAAGCGTCTCCGTGTTCTTCGTGATCCACTGAATCCCATCCCACACGTCGTTTGGTGCAGTGGGAAATTTGTGTTCCGGGGCTCGGCGGTAAGACAAGTTAATCACAGTAACACCCAAAAGCTTTGTGGCAAGCCGGGCATACGGGCTCAACTGGTCGCAGTCACCGAACATGAAGCCGCCGCCAAACAGCAGCACTAGAAGCGGATATTTCCCTTCAGCAGAAGGCTTGTGGACGCGAGCTTCAGAGGAGAAGCCGTCTCGCATGGTGATCTTGACGGAGTACTCAGTACTCGTATCTGGTTGCTGTGTCGCGATTCGCTGGGCTTCCATTGCGGATCGAAGTTCGGCACTTGGGGGCGCAAGAGGAGGAAAGGGGTGCGCCTTCATATGCTGATCAAACAGTCAGGATGCTGATACCAGCATTTAGTGTACTGAAGGACCTGTGTACGAACCTCCTCAAATTCGGTTCTATAGAAAGGTCAAATTAGTATCATAGCCCAGAGAAGTTAGCCATCACAGGTGTATGAACGTACGACAGAACGCCCAACGGCGCTATCTTCTCTCTAGTATCATATTCCATCTTGAATGTGGAAGACCATGAACGAAGTGAAGTGTAGACAATACTCGCGCGATGGTTTGAGAAACTAATACATCTAACAGGCTGGAAGCAGATAATACACTGGGCGATCTCAGTAAATATAGCGTTTGATGCGGGGTAGCAATCCTTAGATCTGTTCATCACGCAAACAATTGTCCGTCTACACCGACTCGTGAACGAGTCTCATCGGCTCCCACATGCCCCGCCATACGGGCAAACACCGAAGTCCCGACAGTTGAACTTCACGGCCTACGATGCGGTAATCCCTGGAACATCAACTCCACTATCCACGAATAGCGGCCTTTCGGAAACATCAAAGTCCGCGAAAGCCACACTCCGGCATTATGCATAATTGACACCCATGGATTTGTGCTTCTGGGAGGTGAATATTCATGTCAGCCACATTTGAGGCTGTCAATTGGGTCACATATGATATAGTAATGACAGAAATGATGCCGTGAGATCAAATGCGGTTGATTACTACTCATCACTACGCCCGGAGGCTTTTACGAGCGCCATGCGAAGCTGACATGAAAGCCGCAGACTATCAAATAAAAGCCCGATTTCACGCCCGATGTGCGTTGCTGCTCGTATGAACCGATTGTTTGCTGAAGCCATTGCCGCCATCGACGCTGAAAGCTTTCCTTTTCGTGCTAACAGATACCCAGTCGTTCATCTCTCTCCGTTACGCAGGTGGCTGGTATTCGCTTGAAAGGTAGCCACACCAGAGAATGCCGTCCTCGTTACGAATGCGGCCGTCTGACAGAGACAGTTAGCAATGCGCGCAACAATCGTGGACTAACAAAGCGGACGACACGTACTGAGATTGATAGTGCTCTTCGGATCCTTAAACTGACTGACTGACTTGCACAGGCATTCCATGTCGTACTGATCCTTCTCCTGGTTGACGATCTTGCAGTATCCGCATTCGTCGTCGAAGAAGCCCCTAAGAATGAGTGACTGCATTAGAGAGGCCGTGGCCAACGGCGAAGAAGCCAGAAGAAGCAAGGACTTACAGCTTTCGCCATCCCATTTGGCCATCGAAGTTGCCAATGCAGATTGTGAGATCGAGCCGGTTGTCCTTGTAACTGCCATCTAGGGCTCGGCATGACGCTTCAAGGGATACAAGTTCTCCATTGCCAGGACCCCCTTTTGAACGCGTGGTTAATTTGTAGTCCTTGCAACTGCGCTTGAACCAGCCGCCAGCGGGGTTGCCTGGCACAATGTCGGCGGTGGTGGAGCCGGCAGCGAAGGCAACGACGAGGGTAGTGACGGCCGAAGTGAACTTCATCTTGACTGATTCAAAGAAGAGTTGTCAATGTGGAAGGTAGAAAGGCAGCAGACCTGGGGAAGTTCTGGGAGGATAAGCAGCGATCGCAGAAAGATATTTGAACTGATGTCTGTGTTTGAAAGTGAATTAATTTCAGCCAGCCATATGACCTGCAATATGAAATGACAAGCGCAGTCACGGCCGTACCTTCCTGGAAGACAAGCAATCAGATCGAGGTCAGAAGTTCGTTTGTCAATCAAGTGATCATTGCAGAGGAAAACCACAACATTCTTGCACGGAGAAGGCGCCACTTTGCAGGGCTACTTCTTAATCAAACTTCGCAACGGCCTGTGAGTGGCCTGGTTTACGGCCCCAATTCGCGAATCTCTTTGTCTCTAGATAAACTCCAGGCAACCATGCGTTTCTTGTATGACAACCATTTCATTATAGTTTTACTGACAATATGCAGTTTGTGTACTCATGTGGGACGGGACCTGTAGGATTTCCTCGGATGTCATTTAAGGCTGTTTGTTTTGTGTTACATTGAGACCTACTGATTTGCCCGAAAGCATTGCCGCCTCTAGCACTTCATCAGTTTCCTCCAATTTGATGACAAGAGGCCCAAGACGCGAAGTGGTAAACAACCACCATGGTTCGAACCGAGTTCCTATTTTGACTGAGGTCACAATGTGCTTATTAGACTGCACCTTTTGAAGGAATCGCCCATGTGGTGACAGTGGGTTTAAAATATTGATCTTAATCCCTTCTCCGCTTAAAAGCTCAAACAAGCGTAAAAGCGATAACAGTCTACCAGCAGGTGTCAAGAACGGGCTTCTCGGCGATATATCTGATTCCAGCCACTCGGATCCTTTGAGTTCAATGAGTTGTCCTCCTCAACGCTTCGCCCTCTACTGATGCCGAGGAGACTCGTTAGTTCAAACCTGCGTTAGAAGCATCGGCCTCAACAGCCTTGCAAGATGTTTACAAAATGCTTCCTTGTTCTATTTTCAGTTCTAGATATATCATGCTGACCTATGCCTACCTATGGTCGTTTCATATACCAGTAGACTCCCATTCCAACGCCTGCTACCACTGCGAGCCTCTCCACCAGCTTACGCAGCAACAATCGTTCGCCTGCTCGGTGTCCTTGCCTCTCAAAGAAATCTGCTCCTGAATTCGTCCACGGATATGGCGTCTCGGGGACCGGCACGTCGAGAAACTTGCACAGCGGAACCCATCCATCCTTCGGACCTGAGAATACAAGCATCCTTTCCGGAGTCTCGCGCGTAATGGCTTCGATGCGGGCATGATGCTCGTCGTACGGTTTCCGTCCCGGCTCTGCCTCGGCCCAGCCTCCGTAGGCCGTGTCCATGATGAGGCGGAGGAACGGCCACCATGCGGCGCGAAACGGGTCCAAAGGATGAAGTAGCCGGAAGACAAGGGACCGGCGCAGCTTGAATACGGTCTTTTCCATCGACGCACGCCACGGCTCATAGTCGCGTTTGGATACGATGATCCGTGCTTCTGGGTAAGCGGCGGCGAGATCTTCGGCAAAGAGCAGTGCGTGAGGACACTTCACGACGTCGTAATCCCCGAGCAGCTTGTCAAACTCCTCACGGCCGTAAGGCTTACAGCGGCCATGATACTTGGCTTCAATGGCTTCGGTCCAGAGGGGAATAGTCTCTTTCCAATTCGGCCACATGGCCTGGAATGAAAAGACTTTGTAACCGAGTTCTTCCAGAGCGCTGTTGAGGGCTGTTGGTTGAAGTCAGTATCCAAAGATCATTAGAGTTGAAAGTCAAAATAGGCGTGAGGATTGGGATGAACTTCGCCAATTGGATCACTCACATTCTGTTGCAGTCCGTGGGAGACCAAGAAGGAGCAACCGCATGGGGCGCGTCCTCGTCTTTTGGACGGAATCAATGAGGCGTATATTTTGTGACATCTTTGCGTCTCTTGGAGCAATTTCACTGTTGAAATCGATGAGTTGAATCGATTCGTGGCCCTTTGGTCTTTATTTTGTCCACTAGCCTGTCATTCCTTGTCCACTTTCCAAGCTGAAGCCCACCGGCGCGTGCCGGATAGTGCGGACAAGCTTTCTACTACAACAGGGGCATGACCTAGCATTATTGTCGCACATATAGCTGACTCGTATTCGTCCCGAGGCAGTATGGAAAGTTTAAAACGTCGGAACCTGCAGCTGAACTCAATTTGATGCTGATCCATCAGCTCGGGTGCGGGCGTGTCTCCAGCAGAAGAGTCTACACCCCCTTCCATTGTGAAAGAGATGTCAAGGAGCAGGCTTGTTGCTACTCTCCTGGAATAGGCTTTAGATCTAAAAAGTCACGACGATGTCAGTGGAAAAGGACGAAGAGAGAAGCAGCGGCATTCTTTTGGACCTCATGGAAACCGACATGTTTGGAATAATTTCGCACATTCTCGGACTCTTTCTTGTCTAAACCATCTGCTACGGATCCCCATGAAACCATTTCAAAGCCTGCAATATCGCAGCTCCTAAATCCTCACGTGCACTGGGGATCATGATGTCAAAATGATCTCCCTCGACAGTGCTCTGACGCAAAACCGGTCCTGCCAGTAGTCGCCACTTTTCAGTCAGGTTGGCCGTCATATCTGCTGATCGTGGTGCCTTCAACCAGAGATCTTGATCAGATCTGCTCGTCCTTCTCATGATACCGTCTTCCATCTCGTGTCGTTTCTCCAAGACCTTCGCTGGGAAGAGATCGAAATTTCCATAGGCGGACCATACCAGCTGCACTGGTATCGAGTTGTCGTTCGCCCCCGTGCCCAAAGCCGGGAGGCTGTAAGCGCTATTCATGAGAATGAGATGCAGCATGTGCTTTCTTTGCCACTCTGGCATGGCATTCGTTCGGCCTCCCGACCATTCGAAGAAGCCTATTGCCTCAAGATGATCCAATAAGATCGCGTTGGGGCTGCAAGAGAGCTCTGATGTGAGTTCCGCGTATGACTCAATAAGAAGCAGTCCCGCAACCGTTTCTCCCTGTTGTATGAGTTGCCTCGCACACTCGTAAGCAAGGCGGCCGCCAATTGACCACCCACCGAGAAGATAAGGGCCCGAGGGCTGGAATTGTCGAATTGCTTGGACGAAAGTGTAACAATACTTATCCACAGATATATCAGGAAAGCTGCTCATACCATAATACGGAGACTCGAGAGCATAGATGCCAGTGTTGGTCTGGGCGGACAGGTGCGGTGGAAGGCCTGCGTACACAGAACTGCTCCCGGAGGCATCTGGAAGCAGAAATATGGTGCGTGTGCAACGACTGGAGCCCTGTAACAGCACAATTCTGCTTGAAAGGTCAGTGCTGCTGGCAGAGGTCATTGCGACTGCATTTTGGTGAGCGCTGTGTGTATTACTCTCCCCGGCAACAATCGCTTCTAAATGATATCCTGGATCGGTTCTGCCGTCCTCGTCTGTTGACATTAGACTGAAGCAGATTGCTGAGAGATCATTGACAGTTTGCGCCTCGAGCAACGATATCAGCGGCACTTCGATCCCTAACTGGACTCGAATGGCATCTGCCACAGTGGGTGCCACCAAGGAGTCCACACCCAGGTCTGCCAGTGAAGTTTCTTCTTCAATCTCCGCGGGGTCGGCATAAGTCTCTTTGGCAAGAATTGAAATGAGCTTGCGAAGCTGTTCATTCCGGCTTTCTGGCTCTGTCTGCCTGGAGCCATTGTTCGACCCGTCCTGGGACAAACTTCTGTTCATGGCTGACGTTGTCGAGGGCACAGTGACCCGGGTCGAATTTGACAGCGCTTCCGTTCTCTCGGTTGTGTTGATAGAACTTTTGAATAAGTTTGGCTTGGGTTCATTCTTGCCTTTGAGCCTGTGAAACAGCATGCCAGTTATGGTAGCTACTGGGCGCAAATCGTGCTCCTCGTCGAAAACTGTGACGCTAATGATAACGTCACCTGAGCTGTCCGACTCTCCCTTTACATAGCAGGTGTAGACATTGTTGTCTACCGGAGCCTCCCAGAAGCGGATGCTTGCACACTCGGTCAGAACATACACCGCTCCAGGAGTAGCGCTGACGCTCATGTTCACCGTGAAGCCAGCAGCTTGCATCGCACCATCCAGCCAGACGGGATCCAACATGAATGCCTGCTTGTCTGGCTCCCTCGCTGTTGCCATGAGCTTTGCGGAGGCTTCGTAGCCGACTGGCGACAGCACGATATCCTGAAGGACATGATACTCCGGAGCGTAATGCATGACTGGTGCCCAAATCTTGTAGATCATTGTCCGTGTGAGGCGGTTAGCGTCCGTGTTGTTTCGCAGCCGGGTCATACGAGATACTGCTCGGAGGAGCGACGTTGCTGTAGTCTCGCCACCAAAATCGGCAAGGTTTCCTGTCGCCCGCACATAGCAACTTGCGTGGTGTACTCCACGTTCGCCTGAGAAAGTCACGGCGAATTCTGGAACCCCTCTGACTTTCTCCACACTAGTGTGAAGAATCTGAACTGGGTTGACACACACGTCGTCGTATACCATGACAGCTGCCTTAAGACACAATGACCTCAATTCAACAGTGTCAAGACTGGAGAGTTCGCCCATGACCTGTGTCACGGCGTCAAAAGCCATGTCAATCAACACGCCCGCAGGACAGATGGCCTTGTTCCGTATCACATGGCCAAGTATGAGGCTTCTGAAAGGTTCTTCTTGAAGGTTCGTCTTGTGCGCTACCTTGAGGCAGTCATCTTCATCATCCTCGTCTGTAGTGGGGGTGTTGATGGCGGTTGGTGATGACGATCGCGAAGTTGACATACGCGATGACGAGACAGGCAGTTTTTGATGAAGAGGAATCCAGAAGTCTTTCAGGTCGAATGCGTAAGCTGGCAACTCCAGCAGCCTTCCGGCATGTTTCATTGATCTGTGATAGGCGCCCCAGTTGATATTAATCCCCGCGTTGTACATCTTCGCCAAGCCGAGAGCGATGTTGTCAATGCACCCATGATTACTAGTACCCATCGCATCAAATACTTCTGCGAGATATCCCCCAGTTGTATTGATGTTGGCAGCAATCAGGTCTCTGCATATCCGCGTCGGTGAGATAGTCATAAAAAAGGTCTTTCGGCCCGGGTTCAAGTCGATTGTAGATTGGATAGCTTTGGCAAAAAGGACTGGCTGGCGAGTGTGGTTTACCAAATGCTCTGACCAGGACGGGCAGGAGTCCACACATGATCCAGTCATAGTCGACACAAAGTTGATCTCTGGATGATCTTTGAACAAGACCTGTTTGGCGTTGCATCGCAACCTCTCCAAGATGTTGTCCATTTGGCCGGTATGGAAGGCATATGGTGTTTCCACCAGAGCACTCCTGATATTCTGCTTCTGAAGACGGCTTTTCAACTCCAGGACGTCGTCAAAAGACCCGCCAACAACCGTTTGTGAAGGCGAGTTCTTGCAAGATACTTCCACGGGACAGTCTTTTATGAAGGGAATAAGGCGTTCCTCCTCGGCAAAGACAGCAAGCATGCGTTTCGTATCGGCCTTGCAAAACTCTTGCACCAGACCAGCACGAGTCCCTACGAGCCAGATCGTATCTGAAGCAGAGAGAATGCCAGATACGTGAAGCGCAGCGTATTCTCCAAGGCTATGACCAATTACGACAGAGGGCTGGATACCCCAAGCTTGCCACATTTTGCAGAGAGCAAGCTCGAACACGAGGAGTGCAACCTGCTCCAATACTGCACTTAACGACGCCTTTTCTGATTCTTGGGCTGTAAGATGATCGAATACGCCAAAGAAGCCCAGTGAGTCGCACAATTGGCTATAATCGCATATAGCTTGCCTGAAGATGTCGTTATAGCTGAATAACTGCTGGGCAGCACCGGCCACCTTTCCACCTTGTCCAGAAAACACGAAAACAACGTTTGGTAACTGTGATGGCCGAGATGACCGCGCTGATGTATGATCATTTCCTTTCGTGCTATCTCTGAGCTGCCTAGCAAGGTCGATGGTGTCTTTAGCTGTGTATGCAGACCGGTATGGATAATGGCTCCGCCTCTCACACGCAGTGTAAGAGAGGTCATCGATGGATGTGGTGGGCTTCTCCTCCAGGAAATCGAGTAGCCTTAGCCTATTTGCCTGGAGTGCAGACGGAGACTTGCCCGAAACTGTCACCAGCCGGTGATGCTGGTCGATCGTTTGGGTCCGTCGTTGGTTGAAGTGCTCTTCGGCCTGGCTTGTGTGATTCGTGAAGCTTTGGACCAACATACTGGTGTTTCCACCGGCTGCCCCAAAACAGTTGATAATGATGTTTGCCGGGGCTTGATGATTCCCCGCTTCGTCTTCTGGTACCAACGACTCCTGTCTCAAATTGATAGAAATGTCCAGCTTTTCCAGATCAGGGAAATGATGGTTTGTAGTCGTTCTGACCCCAATGTGTGGAGGTATGTGACAGTGACGAATCATCAACAGCGCCTTGATGAGGCCTGATATGCCAGCCGCACCTTCGCTATGTCCGATATTGGCCTTGACGCTGCCAATCCTCAGTTTTCTGAACGAACCATTGAACACACTACTGCGGCGACGCTGGCTGCCGCCAAGAACAGCTGCCACTGCCTCAACTTCAGCACGATCGCCCGCTTGAGTTCCTGAGCCATGCACCTCGACATATGACACGTCTGCAGGATGCCGTAGAGACTGTTGGAGAACTTGGCGCAACAAAAAATTTTGGGCCTCGGCAGAAGGACGCGTAATGGGATTGGTGTCAGTTGAGTGATTGGTGGCAATACCCCTGATAACACCGTGTATAAAGTCGCGGTCTCTGCGAGCATCGCTCAAGCGCTTGAGAACCACAACAGCGACCGCTTCGGCTCTAGTGTAGCCGTCTGCCGCGGCATCGAAAGTCTTGCAGGCTGTCTTTGAGGCACCCAGGAAGCCGCCACAACTAAGGCCGGCGTACATGCCTGCATCTGCAGCACCTGAGATGATACTAGCACCGCCAGCAATTGCCATCTCGCATTTGCCTCCTTGGAGAGACTGAACGGCGAGATCCAAAGCCATTGCGCTCGAAGAGCAAGCAGTGTCAATAGACAGTGATGGGCCGTCCCACTCAAAGAAATGGTTCAAACGCCCCGGACCGAATGCACGCATGCCTCCAGTCACATAATAGGGGTCATCCTGTGCCATGTTGTGCTCACGCCAATCGTCTGTAGCTTGTCCAACAAAGGTGCCGACGTGTTTCGTATGAATTGATGGGTTGTATCCTGACATATCCAATGCCTCCTGGGTCGTTAGTAGTAGAAGGCGCTGCGACGGATCTGTCTGCAGAGCGGCTCTACCGGACATGTTGAAGAATTGCCTGTCAAAGTGGCCTGCTCTGTCAATGAAACATCCACTTGGCACTGCCCAAGTGTATGCTTCGGAGACTCTTCCCCGTGGCATCTTGAGGTTTTGTCAGCAGGTGGGGTGACGAAGCCTTCGTTGCTTATACGTACCTGACTTGATGTGTCGCGGCCTTCGCAAAGAACTTGCCACAACTCGTCGACATTCTCAGCCCCAGGAAATCTGCCGGAGTAGCCAGTGATAGCTACCAGGTTGTCTTCATCGTCGTTCTCGCAGTCTTCTCGGTTCTCTTGATGACTGTCTTTCGCTTTGTTATTTCGGTCCTCTTCCTTGTGTTGTCGACGATCAAGGCTAAGTCCGGAAATCGTTTGGACTTGACAACCATTGGTGGTCAGACGATGATAAAATGCATTCCACTGAGCTGTCGGTCCAAAAGTGAAAAGCTTTGGAACAGAAGTATCTTGCTTCAAGAAATTCGTCAAAGTCCCAAGCACTGTTGATGGGCGCGACGGACGCTGCAGGATGTCACGGATTGCCTGTCGCAGTACATCACGCAATGAGCCGCCGTGCAGCACCTCTCCGGTATTTGATGACAGAATCATCACTCCGGATGAAAGTGGCGCGTCCAAGAGGGGAGAATATCCCAGTATATCGTTGTAACTAGAATCAGGTGATGGCGGGCTTAGCTGCCGCTCCCCAAACGCCTATCTGAGCTCGAAAGGTGTGCTCTTACGGTGGTTCTCTGAGATGTGCTGCGTGATACGCAGCGAATATTGGCAGGTCTTTCTTCGGCGCATGACTAAAAGCACTTGAACGGAGAAGACTCAACGTAGAGGGTGGCCCAGAAACGACCGACCACTCATCCAGCTCATAGCTCACATATCCGCGCTTGTGAGCAGGTGTCTCCTAGGTGAATGCGTTATCAGTCTGTCTCTTCATAATGGTTGTCGACAAAATAAAGATATAGGTACATCTAGGCACGCATAGAAGCATAAGATAGGGATGAGAAAGACGTCTCACTGTATGATCTTTGCAATTCTTCAGGGCATCCACACAGTCCTGTCTTGGCAGCTGAACTGCAACAGCCCATGACAAGCCCGGGCGATCCTCAATTTCTCGTGATCGTTGAGTGGCAAACTCAGTCAAACGCCTCACAATATTAAGTGTCTCTGAAGTGAGTTGAGCGAGGTGTCTCTCGTCCGTGGCTGATGCAACAGCGCACGCCAGGACGAGTCCAACACATTCGCCAACGAATACCCTTTGCTGGTTGTGCCGAAGAATGCTCGGATCGGTCTGACATTTCCTGCAGACAGGTGGGAAAAGACCCGTCCATCAGTGACCATGAACCGACTGGGAATGTCTCCATTCTTCTGATATTTGGTAACAACTCACAATATCACGGAGCCAAGCTGCGAGATGCAGGGAACAAGAGCAGATGCTACGGGATCTGTTTGTAAACCCATATTAGATGCAGCCATTTCCGCCCAATCAAGAGCATGGTTTGGTTCGTCCGTAGTATCATTCAGTCTCAGCTTTGAGTAGGCATGCAGACAAGCTGATGCTGTTGTGGCTCGTTCGCGCAGATACCTCAGCGCCTCGACGTACGTGCTCGGTGCCAGGGATTGGTCCCCAAAGAAAAGAACGGAGGATGAGGTTGAGCACATAGCTTACGGAGCGCAGCCAACATGAGCTGGCCTACATCAACTATGATCAAGATGAGTAACTTGCAGCGACTGCAAGCTTTGGCATGGAGTGATCCAGGCGAGTCGCAAATTCCAGCAGACTGCGTGTTTGACGAGTGCATTTGCTTTCGACGAACAAGCTTCCAAGACAGAAGATGCCACTTGAGCGTCTGTCTGATTGTATCCCACCGGGAGGGTGTCCCTATAATTCTAACCTCCCCGGAACATGTTCGTCTGTCACGATGACTGAGCGGAAATCGGGGCTGACGGTTTATGCTACTCCATTCCCCTTGCAAGCCGCTTACGGCCGACCAGGCATCGTGGCCACTTTTGCACAAATTCCTCGGTTTCGTGTGGTCTCTTGTCCAGGGCAAAACTCAAAAGTCGGTCTTTGCAAGTACGCGCGAACAGCATTGACCGTCTCGCCAAAATGACTCGTCACAGCGGTCAACAAACTTTAATCCTGAGCTGACCGACCGGACTTTTCGGACACGGCGATATTTACGACGACACCCGAGTCCCGAGGGCAACCGGCATCGCGTAAAACACCGCCAGTTTCTTCCACTTGCAAGGAATACGGCGCAAAGCAAAACTCTATAGAACAACCAAGGGGCAGACTCCACTCAGGAACTTGGCATACCCAAGTACGGGAGGAGACAATGGGATGATCTGTATGTTGGGGTGAATTTCGAGAGTCCTTTTAAAAAGATGGGCGTATGTCAGCCGTTCTCAGCGGCCCATGACTTTCTCTGCCCAATTTTTCGTCGAATAATCTGCAAGAATGGTATTCAACACCAAGACTGAGTATTCGGAGGTGCATCAGAGCGAAGAGGGCTCGGATGGGGAAGGTAGCCCCAGGATGCCACCTCCATCCAGTAGACTCACCCACTCTGGGTACCGCATGCTTATGGTATCTACTTTCCTGTGCTGCATTGTGTCGGTGGCGGTAGGCTTCTTTCTAGGCACGTACGGCTTCTCTCTGGGTACTCGACAGACAGCATGCGTTCCGGAGCCAAAGAAGGCTGATCCGGCCACCGGGCTTGGCATGGCGACAATCGATGAGGCGCCTTTCATCACCGATGGTATGTTCAACTCTTTTCGCTGGACGTAGCATATCATTGACACAAAATTGATAGTGCCACTGGTCCGTAAGAAGTTTGAACATGACTCTTCGTACAACTTCACAGCTCCTGGTGCCAACCAGAAATGGCTCGATCTCATCTCATGTAAGTCTCAGTGCACACCGGTCTATCTCTCTAGGTAATAACCACTGACCACAAACTCAAAAGTTGGCAAACCATTCGTTGCGCTGAACGACCCAGCCAAGTATGGATTGCCCGATTATTTCCACAAAGATGCACTTCAACCCGAAGGCTTGCAGCCTGTTGCTTGGAACGTCTTCCACCAGCTTCATTGTTTAGTACGAAACCTTGGTTGACCATTTCTCGCTGCCTTGTGGGCCATTTGCTAACAGGTCGGTGACCAGGTGTGCATTCGCACAACGTATATGAAGCTGGCTTTGGACTTGGACGGCGGCTACGATGTCTGCACGCGCCAGCACATTGAACACTGTTTGGAGAGTCTCCGTCAGGTAAAATATGATTGACGTGATCGAAGTGTGCTTAATGCAATGCTGACTTAGCGATCGCAGGCCACGATGTGCGCAGGAAACATGAATATGGAGCGATTTGAATTCATCCATTACCCTGGCCACGATGACTTTGTCCCTAAGCTGGTCGGTCAGCACGAAATGCACACGTGCCGTGACTGGGAAGCAATCAAGGGCGTCATCAAAAGAGTGAGGGCTGAGAACATTCCCGTCGACAAGTACGGCAAGCGTATTTCTCAACCTTGAATTCGTTATCGTTGAAGCGTGCGCACCGCTTTGTTTTGGCAGTCGTCATGGCTTGATCAAAAACGCTGCTCAGAAGTAGATATGACAGAGAGAGAGATCGCTGTGGGAGATTTAAATTCCCAGCCAGTGGAGGAATGTGTGGGCATCAAGATACTTGAGCAACCCTGTATTGAGCATTGAAATATACTTGGAATATGGCTTTTATTGGCGCCAATATCCAGTAAATGGCGCGAGATGCACTCGGGGCATCATCTAGTTACCACGGCGCTTTTGCGACATTCCCATATCCCATTTAGAGCCATATCTTGATGGCATAAACTCTTGAGAGATCTAGTGCTCTACTTGGTAAACCTTGTTCCCAAAGAGATGCTTTCTCCGTGCAGTAACACCCCATTCATCCTTACTCGTGGGCTGTCAGTTGAAGTTTGCTCAAAAAAAATGGGATGAAATTGTACGCCGCCGGAGTTTGTAACAAATCCTTGCACGGTTCAGACACTTGCCTGTTCCGACTTCCTTGGATCTTGCCTCACAATGGAGAAACTGGCTAAGGTTTGGACAAGCAACGGTTCGGCCGGTGGGAGGGGACGGGCTCCACCACAACCGAAATCTACGGTGAGCATCGTCATAGTCTAGGAAAGTCTCTTAGATTACCGGCACAGTCGGCAGAAACATTCATGTCGAGTCAGACCCGAGACCAATAGGCCCCGGCTTGGCTGCTGCGCCCCGCGCTCCGACCTTCTGGCTCCGCGATATCCTCGCGTACCCGCCGGTGTTCGGGCGGATGGGTCCATGACAGATGATGCCAGCGAGGTCCATTGAGCTGAGACCGACACATTCTTGTACCGCTTCGCAGAGTATTATGGGCTGTTTTTTTATTGCCTGTGTTGAAGAGTACCCATCAACAGTCCTTGACATACCTATGTGCCATTTGCGACGCAAGGCATGTCTCTCAATTTCAAGATGTGGTCCCAGGCGAGATGGGTGTTCAGCATGATGCTCTTTTCTTGGGCACCGCCGACACATGATACCATCAAAAAGGATGAGGAAGATGAAGCTGATTATACCGACACGGAAGAAGAATATCAGAAGGAAGATGCCAGTAGTTTCAAGGGCATGCTTTCCGATTGGCAGAAGGCAGAGCCCCTGGGACTACAGCTTTCACAGTGTTGGCATGAAAGTTCAGGACATTCAGGAAAGGCTCAAGTGAGAGGCCGTCGACTTGCCTTCAGCCTTCTCCAATGTCTTCGCAGCGGCCTGGTTCTAGGCGGGTTGATCGAGCTTGTAGCCATGTTGACGGCCGCAATCCCGCCAATTATTCTACGCTGGCTTCTCGTGGCTTTAGCTGATTCAACAACGAACCCCGATCCCGCCACGTCGAGTAGTACACAAGACGCTCACAAACCACACATTATACGCATCTCACACAGCTATACTCTGGTGGCTATTATGGCAGTCACGCAAATGGCCGCCGGTATACTCATCAACGCCTCAAGATACAGACTGGAAGGAGTTGGAGCCCAAGCTAAGGCTGCTCTCACATACATGATAATGGACAAGGCCTTCTTGGCCCCGCCATCCTCATCAGCCATCAATGTGATTCGAAGTCCACATGATCGCGACAAGGATGGCCCAGAACAAACATGGAACTCCGGCACCGTTTTCAACCTTGCATCGGTGGAAGCCTCCCGTATAGAAGACTGTATCAGCGGCATCAACGCCATCTGGACTGTACCAGCAAGCTTTCTTCTTGCAATCCCTATGCTGGCCACCAATGTGGACGCATCCTCGCTCGGGGGCATGGTCATCTTGCTTCTGGGTCTGCCTGTTTTCACGCGCGTGGCCCTCCGTATCTGGAATGAACAGAAGGCTCTCAGTGGGTTCTGTCGACATCGTGCTGCCTGCACTTTGCAGGTAATCCAAGGCATTCGAGGGATCAAGCTTGCGGGATGGCCATCTCAAACAATGGTTTTGAACAAGTTGTGCGGGATGAGAGTTGTTGAATTGGTAACGGCAAGCCGTTTGTGGCACAACCGGGCCATGCTAGAAGCAGCATGTGCTTTGTTACCAACTTTAGCCTCGATGGCAAGTCTCGTTCTGTATGATACTCTACATGAAGGTGTGCCAGATCCAGCGAAAGCTTTCTCATCCTTCGCTCTCTTCTTGGCTCTCAAGCCGCACGTCAACCGGGCGGCACAGGCAGCAGTCCAGTTGCAAGATCTCCTTGTCGGATGCCGCGCGATTGAGATGTGGTTGGAGACGGAAGAACCGCACCAAATGAGAACAATTTCTGCAGATTGGGCGGTTGATGTTGCTCAAAACACGATTCTCAGTTGGCCAGCCAGATCGTCGGCTGATGACTTCCATCTCTCTTTCAACACCCAGGCTCAGATTATGAACGGTGAACTGGTAGCTATTTGCGGCCGCCCTGGGTCTGGCAAGTCCTCTTTAATGCATGCTATTGCAAGTCAGATGTGTCTTGAGACAGGAAGCTTTGAGTTGGGTATCGGCTCAAAAGCGGCTTTGGCTAGCCAGACGCCATGGATTAGACAAGGCACAATTCGGAGCAACATCACTTTCGACCACAAATTCGATGAGGCCAGATATTGGAAGGTCATCAGTTCTTGTGCTCTCATGGACGATCTCGAGCGCATGCCCCGACGAGATCTCACCGTTGTTGGAGCGGGTGGCCAAGGTCTCTCAAGTGGACAGGCACAGCGCGTGAATATCGCCCGAGCGATTTACTCGAATGCGGATATTGTCCTTGTTGATGATTGCCTTCGAAACCTTGACCCTTCAACTAGCAAGACGGTATTTGAATACGGTCTCTGTGGCCTAGCCAAAGATCGCACACGATTTGTCGCGACGAACCAGGCTTGGGTGGCCCGCCAATGTGACCGAATACTGTGGCTCGAAGATGGAAAGGCCACCTGGCTCACTTCTTCAAGCAAACTTGAAGACTATTTCCCATCCCTCATGGGAGAAGAACCTGTGGAAAATTCCTCAACCCAACAACAGGAAGCTCAGTCTTCCCCCCGGCGGGCTGCAACGAAAGCCTCTACTCTAGATCCTAGGAGCACGTCGGAATCATGGTCATCTCATAGAGACACAAAACGACGTGACTCCTTTCAATTATATCTAGGACTTAGCGCTGGGCCAAAGGCAGCGCTCATAGCGGGTGGTATTGTCTTCTCATGGCAAGTCACTGCTGCAGCTGTCGTTTTATGGCTTTCTCTATGGACATCTGACCGTTTCGGCCTTTCCGGCTTTGCGTCAGTGACTTTATTTGCTATTTTTGGTTTTGGCGAGGCGCTACTAGCGTATATCCTGTGCCTCAACATCACCACGAAGATGTTACACGCAAGCCATACCTTGTGGGAACGATCGGTGAGGCGAGTTGTTGCTGCGCCCATGGGTTTCTTTCAAGACTCTCTACTTGGTAGCATCATGGACCGTCTCTCCAAAGATGTAGACACAACGGACAGAGAGCTGATAGAGGCGACCCGTAACGCCACACTCCATCTGGCACGATTACTTGGCGGCGTTGCCTTGATGCTCGCAATGGAATTTAAGGTATGTGCTGTGGTAACCATGAGATGAGTAACGAATACTTATGAGTCTTTCCGCAGCTTTTACTTGTTGTTCTGCCGGGTCTATCCGCAGTTGTTGCCATGATGTACAGATATGCTCCATGCCTCAAGACTGTTCGCTGCCGGGAGGCTGAACTACGTGCACGTGTAAATGCTGCATTTAGTGAGAGCGTAGACGGCGCCAGCTCTATTTCCGGCTATCAAATCGAATCATCAGCTCGGTCAACTCTGGTCCAGCGGCTCAATGGATGGAGCAACGTTCGACTTCTGGCCGCCGCAAACTTACGCTGGCTTGAAGTTAGACTTGACGCTATTGTGGCTACTACCATTGGGCTGACCGGTGCTCTTGTTGTCGCTTCATCCGCTTCACTTTCACCATCTACTGTCGGTCTCATCATGACCCAGGCTTTGATTCTGCCTGCGTCTTTGAGACAAGGCATGAGATTCTCTACTAGTGCCTTCCAGTCTATGGTTGCAGTGGAACGTCTGTCGTCTTATGCTACCAGTATACCTCGCGAAGGGGAGGCACAACGCGCTTCAAGGTATCGCATTGCGTATGACGCGTCATGGCCGGCCTCTGGAGAATTAGACTTCCGGAATGTGACTGTTTCGTATCGTCAAGAACCCGGCAAAGAAGCCCCAACGGCGTTGCACGATATATCTCTCAGCATACCGAGCGGCATGCATATTGCGGTTGTAGGCCCGACTGGCGCAGGGAAATCGACACTCGTTTCTCTCCTGCTGCGCTTGCTTGACCCGTCGACTGGCAACATAAACCTGGACAGCGTGTCCATGGTTGACGTACCACTTCACACGCTACGCTCCCACATTGCAGCAGTTCCCCATGATGCTGTACTCCTTCCTCACAGCACCGTTCGCGAGATAATTGATCCTAATCACTACCACTCTCTGTCTGCGATATCTCAACTACTGTCGGATCTGGATGCGCTGGCCGGTCTACAGAATGAGCCGCCTTTGGAGGTTGACATGATAGCTAGTGAGCAGGTAGCTCGGGGAACAGGAAGGGCCCAGCTATTGGCTTTGGCGGCTGTGTTACTCAATAAACCGCGGGTATGCGTACTGGACGAGACACTTGGGTCTTTGAACGTCCAGACAGATGTCAATGTCACGGACATGGCGAGGGACGTGTTGAAGGGCTGCACTATGGTAGCGGTCACACATCGCATGAGAGTGGCGATGTTATTTGATCGAGTGCTTGTGCTCGACGAGGGTGGAGTACAGGCATACGGCACGCATTCGGATGTATGGAAGAGCAGTCGGTTTTTCAGAGAGGCTTGCAGTCGGGATGGTATCACTGCTGAGGGAGTTCATCAAGCTAGAGTGTAGCATAACCTTTTTGAAAGCACTTGCGGCTTTAAAGAAAATAACTTATTGCAAGAGTCGCGATCGGCAGAGGTGGATGATCCGTGTTTGAAGTCTCGACTCCGGGTCACAACGGGATGACATTGCAACACTGCGATTGAGTGACCTACCCATACGCTACACTATCGTGCCCTGCTCACGCCAGCTGAAGCGAGTTTTGTAATAGTGTAACAACTCTGAATCCAAACTTGACTTTTCGATTAAGCCATTCGTCGCGGGCTGGGAACAGTACAACCGAGTGGCAAAATCAGCATCGGTCAAGGTGTTATACAATCAGCACTTGAATGAGATCTTTCTCAATGACTTCTAGACTTTTAAGCTCATGATATATAAGGGCTTCAACAGAGTTGGGTAGTGCCGCTCGCACAATAGGTTGTAAGTAGTCACCTTCAAAATTATAGGTAGCAGGCTTTGTTCATGTGCTCAAAAGTTCGACTATGTGTCGCCTGATGGGATTCAAATTTAGCAATAGGAAAACCCAGATATAGCTTGATCTCGGAGACATCAAGAACGTTCGCACCAGATCTGTTAGATCTGCTGGGTGATCTGCTCATGTGGTTGTTTGAGTCGCTCTTGGCGATATGCCATTCAATAGTTAGGACGTGACATGCGACGGCTGAAACTCTTCGGTATTCTCAGTACGGGAAAAGGGTACTTGGGGATCATGGTCTTATTCAGCATAGCCATAAATACGGTGACTTACCCTATGTGTAACACCCTTGCAGAAGCGGACTTTGTCAAGTGTCTCGAACCTCTGGATGTGTTTGAGGCCCTTCATCATACGATTGCGCCACCCGCGGTGAAGTGCAATAAACAATGCCTCGACAGAGAACATGTCATGTTGGACGGAAGACCACCTAACTCGTCAGCTGTTGTGTTTACTTCCAGGCCATGCCTCAAATCAGTGATAACAAGTCAGACCCCCATCTTAAGTACCGCTACCTATCCCCAATAGAGCGTACATAGACATGGAAGGCCCAAAGACCATTACCTAAGTTTTGGTTCCGTTGCCTTGTGGTGGAATGGGGACTCTTGAGCAATGACGAACATTCAACTAGGCTATGGGGTGCTCCCGTCGCAGAGAAAAGATCCCCTGGGAGGTCGCACTAGAACAGCCAAGGTAATCATGGCTAATGTCTTAGAGCTGTTGCTGGCAGGATTCATCGAAACCGGTTCCAAGGCCGGAGTCGTGTATCGTGAGTTTGATAGTAAGATTAATGGCAGCAAGATATTCTAAGTGGCAATCACCTAGTACATTTCATTATCGATTCCTCAATACGAGCTAGATAAACTGTTGGCATGTACATCCCTATCCCCGGATTCAAAGAGTTGCGATTTGTCTCTCCCAATTTACTCATCTACGCCGGAACTGAACCTCCCCCCCCCTCTGGTTCAGGTGCGACTACTGCAGCGATCTATTCCCAAACGTGATTGGTATGCTCATGCCCCCGGCTTCGGGACGATGTACCTCAAAGCTTGACAAGCGCCCACTGGCAAGATTACAAGGCCGACTGCGTTGACTTTTGGCTAGTGTCTACTGATAGGACGTTTCAATCTTGAGCGAGTGCTGTTTCTACTACTCTTACCCAGAGAACTCTGGCTTGAAGACTCAGTTTTTTGCCGCTGGAAACTCTTTTGTCTTTTCTTTCATTGCGATGTCCATGTTGCGCATGTCGACGATCTACTTCAACTACCTAGGTAACTTACGTGCGTCATTCGAAAGATGGGGGCAAAAAGGACGAAAGCAAAGCGCGCGAGGGTGATGGCGGTAGCTCGGACCTCCGAAAGCCCGTCTGCTGGCCGACTACCTCTTCCGAAAGACACGAAATTAAGGTACTAAGCAAAAAAGAAAAAAAAAAGAAAAAAAAAGAAAAAACCCCCGCGTTTTCCTTCCAGATATCTAACAGAACGATACAAAGCTGGCTGCTTTTTACCAGCAAATGGAAAGATGAACAATAGGGCAGTTATTCCCTCACTGTTGAGAACATTTCGGTGGCAGCCGGAGAGCCGAAGACGGCGAAGAGCCAGAAGCCCACAGCCTGAATCCCGATTTCGTGGAAATCTTCCTTGGCCCGCACCATCTTCCGTGGGGTTGCAGGGCCTGTCTCAGGGGCGGGACCTCTGATTTCCTAAGTAGGTAGGGCTGGAGTCGTGATTAAACAATTAGTGGAGAAACATATCTCGACCAGACGAACGACTGGAAGATAAGATTAGGTCGGCGGTAGTTTAAGACAAACAAATGAGAGCTTTTTGCGTAGATCGTTAAGCTTGGCATCATGCAACAACCCGTTGATCTGGTGCTACGATTCATGGCTGGGTGTACCGGATCCGCAGCCCGGTATTAGCACATATTGCCAAGAAGCAGTTACTACGAGATTTTGGCAGTCTCCACTAGGGATAGGGGGGATTTAGAGAACTGCAACCCGTCAGCCAAGCATGGACACGGTAGGGAAGCCCGTGCATAACGGACAAAATCCACGAGTACGATAAATTCGTCTGATGTTGATGGCGAACTTCATCGGGTTTTGACAGATCGAGCTTCCAGCATCGCTGTGTCCGATCCATCACCCGTGCCCAACCCTTGTGTCCTCATCAGATCCCACCGGTCGCCTTGTGCAACGTGAGGCAATTTCCCGAACTTCTAGTTCGGCTTTCCAATGTGTCGCGACCCAAGAAATGGAGTGGCCAATATATCATGCCCGGTCTGGCCGTAGGGCCAGTGGAGTCCTACCCATTTACTCGTGGCTGAGACAAGGCGTTTGCTTGGCACCAGTGGCCCGGCATATAAGGACATGACGCATCTCCATGATCAACCTTCCAAGCTCTACAGGTCGTACCACATCCCAGGATGGCATCGTTCAACATGGCTGCCGGCGTGATCGCCCTTCTTCTCACAGGAGCCGTTGCACAGGCCCTTCCGGATGGCGCACCCACGTTGCCGCAACAGGCTCAGATCATCGACCAGTTGAGCCAGAATGTGCTGGAAGAAGTCTTACCTCCTTACGAGGCCAATGCATCGACGGTTTGTGCGCCCAGAGCTCAAGAAAGGGCTACAACTCACAACAATCGCAGGAATTCTTGTGGCGTGGCGTCAATTCCTCGTCACTCAAGGAAAGACCATTTCACATCTACAGCTCGGAGTTCTACGAGGTGATTGGTAGTGATCCGTCCCTCACCCTCATTGCGACCTCAGAGTCCGATCCCATCTTCCACGAGGCAGTCACTTGGTATGTATCGCCTAATCTGGGTGTCTCAGACTTTGCGCTGACTAGAGAAGGAACCCAACAACTGATGAAATGTTCTTCGTTCAAAATGCTGGAGACCCGGACGCGGGCACCGGCTTGAACAAGTCTTCCATCATTCAGAAGATCTCCCTTCTGGATGCTGAAGAACTGAGGAACGGGACTTTCGGTGCCACAGCTGTGCCAGTGCATACAGTGCCATCGACCCCACAAGTGATCAACCCGAATGGTATGTTTCCCACGTGAAAGGGCCGATGTCGTATCCGTATGTGTGCTGAGATTAAGAAGGTGGCACCAACTACAAGGGTAACCTGGTCTTCGCGGGCTCAGGTCAAGGAGACCGTCTTGCATCCGCGCTCTATCTGATGAATCCTGTCGAACCATACAACACTACAGGTGGGTGGTATTCAGAGCTGATGGCAGCACTTGTTGAAGGCCTGGGCCTAACGTCCTCCGTGCAGTCCTGGTCAACAACTTCTTTGGAAGAGCTTTCAACTCACTGAATGACGTTGCTGTCAATCCCCGTAATTTGAACATTTACTTCACCGACACCCTTTACGGATACCTCCAGAATTTCCGGCCGGCGCCCGGCTTGCGAAACCAAGTTTATCGACTAGACCCTTCCACAGGTTCACTCTCAGTTGTGGCTGATGGGTTTACTTTGCCAAACGGTTAGTATTCATGTCCATGCACTCATTGTTTGGTAGTGACTGACTCTGGTGTAATGCAGGGATCACGTTCTCTCCCAACGGCGAATACGCCTACGTCACAGACACCGGCATGGCCCATGCGTTCTTTGGCGAGAATCTGACGGATCCTTCGACAATGTAAGTTACCATTGATAATCATCCAATGCTGTAGAAGAAAACTGGCGCTGACTTTTGGAAGCTATCGGTATAATGTAGAAGAGGACGGCACCTGGGAGAACCGGAAGACGTTTGCCTACGTTAGTCCTGGAATCCCGGACGGTAAGCACATCCCAGAACGTGACTCATGTGCGACTGTTTCTGACTTTGACTGGGTGCAGGAATCCACTGCGATTCAAAGGGTAATGTGTATGCTGGCTGCGGAGATGGCATTCACGTGTGGAATCCATCTGGAAAGTTGATTGGAAAGATCTACTTTGGTTCCGGCGTCTCCAATTTTCAATTCGCCGGAGACGGCCGGATGGTTATCATGGGACGGACGAAGCTGTTTTACGCAACTCTTGGTGCTTCGGGAGCTCCCATCTCGTAAATCAAAAAACGATAGTTCTGGACTGAAAAAAGTGATTCAGCAATTGCGGGTAACATACCCCGGACAGCTCAGGTCAATCAACTCCGCAAGATGTGTATTAAGCGCGCTGGATGCTATATGCACGCTGTTCTATCTGGTCTCGTAATTCTAGGTTCCAAGGCTCTGGGCCTCGCACATCTTCTTGTACAGAGGACCCTTTGCCAAAAGTTCCTCATGGGTACCTTTTTCAACGATTCGACCGCCGTGGAAAACACAAATTACATCAGCGTGTCTGATGGTTGACAGCCGATGCGCCACAGCGATGGTAATCCGCTCACCAGGCGAAGCTGCCTGGTTTAACGCTTCTTGCACAATGCGCTCTGATTGTGTATCCAATGCGCTTGTTGCTTCATCGAGAAGCAGTACACGAGGCTTGCGGATCAAGGCACGGGCGATGGCGATTCGCTGGCGCTGGCCACCAGAAAGCTGAGTGCCATTGGCTCCGCATTGAGTATCGAGACCTTCGGGCAGGGAGCTGATGAACTCCCATGCATTAGCCATACGGCAGGCTTCGATGATGCTTCCATCGGAAATGGTGGACGGGTCTTCTGTCGGAATACCCATGGAGACATTGTGCCTGATGGTGCCTGGATAAAGGACAGGCTCTTGCTGTACGAGTGCGATGTCTTTTCGGAAAAGCCACGGGTTCATCCGATCAACATCAACACAATCAACCCTCAGATGACCGCTGACTGGATCATAGAACCTCTCGAGAATGGCAATCATAGTACTCTTTCCGCATCCAGATGCTCCGACAAAGGCCACGAATTGTCCCTTCTTGATCTATGAGATCTCGTCAGTTTGAACTTTTCCTGGTTGCTGTACGCAGAACACAACTCACCGACAGATCGACACCCTGTAGGACCTTTGTTTCAGATCTCAAAGGATAAGAGAACTTAATGCGCTCAAGCTTCATTGTTGAGTAGTCCGAGGGCCCAACGCATGCATTCTCATCAGTTTCCCGAATCGATGGCTTCAGTTCGGAGAGCCAAAAAAGGTAATTAGCTGCGTTGACAGCTTTCGTCATGCCTTTGAAACATTAGTCGACGAGTAGTTGCCAGTCAGAACTGACACTCACTGCTAGAAAAGCCAAAGAGAATGGAGGCCTGTTGTCCAGAAAAGAAGACGCCCAAGAAGGCAACGAAGAAATTGACCGTGCTCATGTTGCCGAATGATACCAGACGGCAGCCATACCTAAGTCAACAGGTAAGCGACGAAGTAAATGGGAGTGAATTTGAATTTGAAATACCAGAATCCGAGAGCCATGAAAGCATATTCAACACTCTGTGTGAAGGCGAAAGGCAGCATAATGAGCAATATCGGCCTCCGAGCGAAATGGTTGGCGTGATCTAGCTCCCTTGTGTATCTTTCGAGAACAGACCTCTCGATGGACAGGGAAGAGACAGTGCGAATGGCAGTAATGGCCTCGGATGCGATGGAGGCACTGGAAGAAAATCTCTTTGATATCTTTGCATCCATAGCAGACTCCATCCTGATGCGGACGTAGCCAGCAAAGAGCATTGGGGGCAGGCCAGCGAAGACAATGACGACGCCTAATCTCCATCCGTATGCCAATGCCAGAATGCTGCAAGCGAGAACGCTCACAACCGACACAAGAATCAAAGAGATATTGAATCCCATGAGCTCAAACACAGCTTGAGGGTATGAGTCCGTCCTGCTTGTCAGAGCCCCAGTTGTGTTCTCCGGTCGGTCGAAGAACTGAAGATCTTGTTTGAGCATGTTGTCCACAAGTTCCCTTCGCATTTTCTGGTTGAAGGTCTGGGTAGGCGTCAGCTCAATTGAAATTCAATATGACATAAGAGGAGAGGTTGAACAGACTGTAGCTATTGTATTAGAGCACCATCCAATGACGAAGTAGACCGCAAAGGCCCCAATGCCGACAACAAAGAACATGAGGGCGAAGAAGTTACCCTTCTTCTGCATCTGTGACCCAGTGAACTTGAAAACCTCGATAAACCTTGACATCAGGATAGCCTGTCCGGGGTACGCAGCCGCTGTGAATGCCGAGTTAGCAACAATGAACCTCTTCAGGGCAAATGGGTTTGGTTACCCGCAATGAAACATGCTGCAGTCAAAGCAGTGTAGTACCATCGGAGTTCAGGAGTACATCGCAAAAGCCGCCAGACAGTGGCACAAAATCCAACACGTTTCCAGTTGTCGAAGTTGTCCTTGTCGATCCGTTGCTCCGCCCGGAGTCGCGTTGCGGTGGAGTATCTTGTCAAATCATGACTGAGGCGGACAGACTTGTCTTCGTCTTCGGCAATAGTGTCAGAATTGGAAGCGCTGTCAGAGGGTCCCTCGGTGATTGCTAGGTCCTGGGCCATGACGAGTCGAGAATATGCGCCGTTCATTGCTAGTAGTGCATCGTGGGTGCCCTGTTCGATGATCTGACCCTGTTTCATGACAACGATGTTGTCAGCATCTCGAATGGTAGCCAGCTTGTGTGCGATCGTGATGGTCGTTCGCCCTCTTGAGACGTTGTCAAGAGCTTGCTGCACCACCTGTTCGGCATGGGGATCAAGCGCGCTAGTAGCTTCATCGAGGAGAAGAATCCGGGGCTGGGAAATGATGCTGCGAGCAATAGCAACACGTTGCTTTTGGCCGCCAGACAAAAGCCCTCCACGTTCGCCGATGACTGTGTCGTAGCCGTTTGGGAGATTCTTGATGAAGTCGTGTGCGAAGGCAATCTCTGCGGCTTGTTGAACGCGAGCCAGCTTGACTTCGCGAGGCTCGTGCTCCCATGGCGTCCCAACGAGTCCGTTCACGATGTTGTCGTATACGGTGCCGCTGAAAAGAATCGGTTCCTGCTGCACAAGCCGGATCTGCTTCCGCAGCCACTGGAGGTTGAGCTGTTCGATGGGCCTTCCGTCCAGGGTGATTGTTCCTGATGCCGGATTATACCATCGTTCCAGCAAACCAACAATTGTACTTTTACCAGAGCCACTGGCACCAACCAAGGCTGTCGTCTTTCCGGCTGGAATATGAAGTGAGTAGTTGTCGAGGACCCTGGTGTCCGGTCGCATGGGGTAACTGAAAGAGACATTCTCAAAATCGATGTTACCTGTGACGTTCTGGGGTTGATCGCCGGACTGGTCCAACGGATCTATCAGCGACTTCCGATCGATCAGTCTGAAAAGTTCTACCGCAGCAGTAGCTGCTCGGGTGAAATCGATGAGGTAGGGAGTAATGGCGGTAAGGCTCGAAGCTGCGACGATGACTGACATCAGGACACTGAAAGAGGTCAATAGCTATTCTCAGAGGTGATTGATGGTGGGCTCACATGAAGACGTCTCCAGGTGCTTTAGTCTCGCCTCTCGCGAGCATGCCAATGGCTTGCCAAAAGCAAAGTCCGATGCCAGAAAAGAGGATGAAGTATTCCGCCGAGAATAGGCATCCCAGAATAGGATTCTTCCTTCTTCCAAGCTTGGCCGACTTCTCGAGGTATGCGTTGAAGTCTGTGATCAATCTCGATCGAAGCGCAAATGCCTGGACTGTACGAGCGCTGGCAAGAATGCTCTCCGCAAAGGATCCAGCCTGCGCGTTCCAACCAAGGATCTCGATCTCAATATTGGCTTCTAGATAGGATGCTACGCTCATCACGAAGATAGTAGCTGGTGCAATGCAGCCGGTGATAAGGGTCAGCTTCCAGTTAGTGACGAAGGCTAAGACGAAAGCTGAAATGAAGGCAGATAGGCCCTGGATGACGAGTCCAAGCTTCTCTGAAATTCCAGCTTGAACCAATCTACCATGAGAGGTAGCTTGCACTGCGACCGAGCCGCCAATGCCCGAGTCAAAGTAAGCTATCTCTTGAGTGAGTCCTGCTTTCAGGTATGCATGGCGAATGTTGCGCGTGGTCCGGTATGCGGCGAGGGTGAACAGGGTGCTGTAACCGTACGAGACCACAAATCGACCGATGCCAATGAGGAAAAAGTAGAGCCTATTTTTGTTAGTTTCTGCCTCTTGGGTAAACTTATAAGTGAGCGTACGCAAGTCGTGCTGCTTCGCTGCGAAATTCTCCGGGCGAAGATGTTCCTGTGGTGAAATCGGTGATCACAGTGATAAACTGACCGAACACGAGGTTCACCATGGCCATGCCAACGCCAGATGCAAGTGCGCAGGTTGTTGCAACGAGCTGCATGGATAAATCGTTGTTGTCGCCGTATCGAAATATTCTCTGTTGTAGAAATCCGAATCAGCTACAGATCCTAACACCAAGAAATTCAAGAGGAGGTATTTGGTTACGAAGTAGCTCGGCAGGACTCCAGGATCGCCTTGGGTGGTAGTTCCATGCTGGTCGCCAGCTTTGGCTGATAATTTCTCCCGGGAAGTGCCCATTGAAGCTTGCTGATTAAATCCAAATAGAGTGAGTAAGGAGTCTGACAGTATCGGAGAAAGATGAGATGAAACAAAACAAGACGCGGTGCATCTGGGCAGTATTACCAGCCTTTAAGTGACATGGGATTCTTTAGCTCGGCCAGCTGAACTTGTTCACCGAGACTTAACGAGATGAACGTCTGCGCTCGCGGACGTGGGACATGCCGCCTCCGATAATTTCAACGCTACCACTGAATTGCGTCCCCGTCGACAACAATCGTTCAAAGCTGTCGAAAACCGATGTTGATTGCTTTGCCTTGGAATGAGTCTAGCAGGTCCAATACTGCGAAAAGGAGGAAGCGGCGTTTCGGAGGGAGTTCAGCTTGCGAAACCCCGTTTGCCAAGCTTACGTTTCCGCGGACACCAGATCGCCTGGCTCATGGAACTCACGGAGCCCGAAATACGACAATGAATTGGCCGGGGTCTCGCGCTTGAAGTACCGCTCGAGAGGTCTGATCGTCATTTATTAGACAGACTTTCGACTAACTCGTTGTCAAGAGCGTCATGAATGAACCGCAGATTCCTTTCATTGCAATGCACGGATAGCAGTTGCGAGGACACTGCTAAGGAACCCATCTGTTTCAATGCGCTGAGGTACCAATTATTGGGATTCTCTGACGTAGACTTCATCCAATCTTTCAGTTATTCTAGTTACGTTCAAACATCCAAGCGACATGAAATAAATTATTTACTCTGTTACGAAAAGCGTGCATCCCTTTTCCCTTCCGACTTTCCATTGCTACTTCCATACCCTTCATATCGTTGATCAAACTGAAGAGTAGTATTTGGCAAGCTCTGACACCTGGAAAGAATCCGGCTCAGGATGTTCTGATTGATACTATCTACTAAAGAGTATTTCTAACAACGATACGTAGTATGTAAATAGCTTTATTTCCCGCCGTTATTTCAAGGATTGTGGGTTCAGGTTGTCAATCAATTTGTGAGAGATTCTCCTGGGGAATGGTCTATGTGAGAAGGTCTTCAAAGAGAGATTTCACAATCTCTGGCTCTGATCACAGCTGTGGCGGTGGGGTCCGCCGAAGCAAACAGGCCACTGAAGGAGTCTTCTTTACGCCCATCCGTAGCCCATTTCCATTCGTACTTGGTGAGGAGATAGACCAAGATGACCTTGATCTCGTTGGACGCGAAGAATCGCCCAGGGCAGGAGTGCAGGCCATGACCAAAGGCCAGGTGTTCGGGTCCGGTCGTCACGAATTGCCATTTGTGCTCCTGTCCTGGCTTTTGGCGCATGTCCAGGAAACGCCGCGGATGGTAGCCGGAAGCATCCTCAAACATAACGGGGTCTTCCATCTTGTCAAGTGCAACCATTGTGTAGGCACCTTTGGGAATACGAGTTCCGTCGGAAAGTTCGACCGTCGTTGATGCTATACGGTGCATTGCCGCTGAATAAGCATGTAAGCAAGGGGAAGAACCACATCCTGAAGGCCCTGGACTCACCAATATCTCCCAGATGATGACGTTGAGACTCTTTCATCATGCTGTCTGTGAGCTTCATGTCTTGGAGAGCCTTCTTAGACCAGCCATGTGTTTTTATCGCCAAATACATCTCCTCTCGCAAAGGTTCGAACCACTGGGGATGATCGCAGAGATCAGAGATGATACCACTCAGCAGCTCCGATGTTGTGTGAATTGCGGCAAATGAAAGTCCAAGCTGTGCGAGACCATCATCATAAGCCCGGCCCTTGGCAACCTCGTCCAGCCATCCAATGGTGTCGGCAACCTTTGTGGTTTTCTCACCTGCGTCGCGAGCAACGCGATTCTCTTCCCTCCGTTTGGCAAAGACTGGCTTGAGGATCTGTCGCGCACGAGAACCCTCTGACTTTAGGTTTCGAACTTCGGGGAGAAACCAGTGAACGAAAGGTCGGAGAAACGACGGCCACTTTGTCAAAGCCTCGGCGGCAACCATGGAGTGAACAGTATAGTTGACTGAAACGTCCAACCATTCTTGGTTCGCGCACAACTCGGGGCCTACAAATACACGGGACGAAACGCGTGCTGCCAGTTGTAAGAGCACTGACTTGAACTGACACTCTGTCCAGTCTGTCGAATGTCAGCGAGTCTGTTGCAAAGGTGGGAGTCACCGGGGCTAATGAATACCCTTGGGGGCGCCAAGAAGATGGTCCGTCGCCTGTGCGGTCTCGTCGGCCAGGTCTGCTGTGATGAAGTCTGCGTTCTCGTGTAAGTTTTGAGGCATTTGCAAATTACGGGGCGTTGTCTTACTCAGAGATTGAGTCAATCTCCCTCTCACCATCTCCACAAGCATCTGACTTTGGGGACCGGCAGCGAACGCCTCAAATCCGGGATAACTGCCAAAGAATTCCTATCGCAACGTCGAAAGTTTAATAGACGCACATGATATGACGCAAGGCCGGAAAACTAATTTATTGACGTACCTCGTGAATGGCCCTCCCAAAATCCATTCTGGTATCGTTTCGAATCTCATCTGCGAATTTGCCAGGTAAGATGATCTTTGGTCCTGAAGTTGTGATCACCTGGAAACAACCGGAGAACTGTCTATATGTCAGTATGGGAGCATAATGTCGGCAAACAAAGTCGTTCACCTTCTTGAGCCCTTCGCGAAGGATGTTGGGACCGTCCACAAGCCATCTCTCACGAGCCTTTTCAAGGTCGCGATGCCCCCCTGGAGGTAGCCCGGCAGTTGGAAAACCCTCATGAAGACTATCTCTGTACATGAAAAAGTAGAAAATGAAAGGCGCTATTGCAAGAAAAAGATATTGTAGACCGAAGGCTTCACCCTCGGCAAGTAGAAATGACTCCATATTGAGTGAATGTAAGTTAAGTTAAGGACGACTGATTTGCAATCTTTGCGGGACACGGTTTCAGTAAATTGAATCAAACGGAAGCGCCATCTTTCTGCGAAAACAGCATTTCTTATAACTTGTCCAGTTCTCGTGGTTGTTCTCGTGGTTGCTCTCGCTTGCAAACTCCACAGCTTCGCGGCGAGACCATCGGGTGTCGAAGATTGAGAACTGCGATTAGGTTGACACCCCTGATGGCGAACAGCCCGGTTACCGTGGAACAGCTGTATTTTGTGACGATTCGGATGCATTTCGCCGAGTTGAAGTGTGAAGCTGGAGCGACGTCGTGCCACGGGCCACCGACTTGAGAAACTCTTCCGTCTCCGAAACTCCGGCCAAGACGGCCAAGGCGGTAAGTCAAGGAACCGAGATCCGACTAACTCGCATTTACCGGAGTGCGTCTGGTGTTTATGATGCTGGGAGATAGAGGACGCTCACAAATACTTCTGCCTCTAACAGAGAAGATTCTTGATGAATCAGTGCTGTGTTAGCGTCTTGAATCCAGACTACACCCCCAATTCTTCCCCTGTGCGAAGATGAAAGCGAGTAATAAACCAATGGAGATAACTGCATACATCAAAATTGTTTAGTCGCGTTCGGGATGAATATGACAAGCTTAGATATTTATTGTTCTTTCAGAATACCCAGGACCTTCTTCACGCACCCCAGCAGTGCCAGCTCCATCATGACCCCTATTCTCCAAGTGACATACTTCTGCTTTTGACATTCTGCATATTTTGCGACTATTCCAAAGTCACAGAGTTAACAGCTCCAAAGTTACAGTGGAATGATAACCGAACCTCGGCATCACAGTCTTAACTCGTGGTCGGAGGGCCAGAGTAGTGATTACGACCCCAAACTACATATCAGCCCGCAGAGAAGATGGCACAGGCCACGAAGACAACAGATGCATAATTGACAGACGCTGCCGTGACAGGAAGGGGGGATGGCATGCAGAATAAGGGTACCGCCAACAGAGACCACCCTCAAACCCCATAATTAGTGCGAGACATTGAAACGAAGGACAGGGGCGCATACCAATGCTCACAATATTGCAGAAGTATCCCATCCTTCCAAGATTGAATGCTGCCGTCTTCAAGCTCTTACGCCTTGTCGCAAGGCTGATCGCGATCGGTGTTGCGTACGAGCACGTCAGGCAAATGACACCCACGCCGGAAAATGCGCTGAACGCGACTGGGGACCCGAAGTATATGAAGCCTAGCAAAACCTCGACAGCCATACAGGCCATCATCGCATTTAGCGGAACCTCGAGTGTAGGATGAATCTGTTTCCACCACCGAGAGCCCGGTATGGCGCCGTCTCTTGCAAATGCCCAAGTACATCGCGAGGACGCTGTGGAGCAGCCGATGCCACAGATGATTCCCAGTATCACCAGTGGCATGAGTAGAGCGAAAGCGCCACCTGGCGTACCAACAGCGTTTTTTATTATCGTCGGAACGGGTTGGCCAGCGGATACGGCAAGTAGCTGTTGAATGTCGGGAAGCACGAACACAAGAGGGATTAGAAACAGAAGGCCAGCGACCGTGTTGATACAAGCTGTTGCCACCATAGCTCGGGGGACTTGGATTGAGGGTCGCCGAACCTCCTCACACATGCTGCGCAGAAAAGCAAGTCAGTTAGCGTTTTTAGACTAAGTGTATTAAGCAAACTTGCGATATAATCATGCCGGTTGATGATGTGGCATAGCCAGCATGCATGAGACCAATACAGAAGGACCATGCATGAGGCCACCCAGATTGTGTCTCGAAATGGGTGAAAACGTATGCGGCTGAATGTCGGCCATTCTTTGCAACAGCTAGGACAGCAATAGTAATAGCAAACACTCCGGCGAATGTCCAGAATATAGCAGCCGTCTAACTGAACTTCAGCGAGTACCCTTAATGGTATAAATAGGAGGCTGACTCACGTCAACCCATGGTAGCCAGCGATTTCCAAGAGACGAGACAGCGTTACACAACAATGTTATAACGACGAAGATGAGGAAGACTTGGTATGTCTCACCAGGAAATATTCCCTTGCCAGTTTCGTACTCAAAAACGTTGATGCAGGCACCAAAGAATTGTGCAGTTGCGAAATTCACAGAAAGAGTGATAGACATGTTTCCCACCACAAACAGCCAGCCACAGATCCAGCTCGCGAGCGCCCGGTACTTGGGCGGCGTTAACATTGCTGCTTGGTAATATACACCTACATGCCACGTCAGGTACTTGAAGGAACGGATATTGTTGGCAAACACCATTGACAAGATGAAAGTTGAAGTTCGTACCTCCCGCAGTTGGATACACACTGGTGATCTCGCCAAGAGAGGCGGCAACGCATATGACAATCAGCGCAACCAGGAGCCATCCCCAGATAATGTTCACTGGACCGCCCCCGATGAGAGGATAGTTCAAGGTGGTCGCGAGGCCGTAAGGGTTCGCTGCTAATACGAAGGCCATGAAGGCGACGTGAGCCGTAGACCGGTTCCGCTTGAGTTGAGGGTCGTATCCAAGATGGCCAAGGAGATCATCGGCCAGTGTCTCGCCAGAAACATGTCCACTGACACGATTGTCGCATAAGTCCTCGCGGTACCGTGACTTAGCGTTAACAGCAGAAGAGTTGAGAGCGCCCGGATCTTGCGGTATGATCTGCGACATTTTGAGGAGGTTTGCGGCCGAATATGTGACGAGGATAGTGAAGGGAGTAGTCAAGCATAAGCCCAATGTGACTTCTGGAGGTGCGTTTTTCGTGTGGAAAGTCTTCAATGAGGAGGTGGTTTTGCTCACAAGCTTTACTGGTGAACCATGTACGCAGAGCCCTTTGGGGATTGCCTTCAACGCTGCTCCCCCCTTCGGTGACGTAGTATTAGGCCGCCGTACCTGCTTCTCAGGGCAAGCCCAGGAAGGGAATTTGCGCAATCCACCATCATTCATTGCCCCTGAGCTTCTGCCCAAAGCATGCAATACAATCTTGGATGATGGATATCCAATCATCGGTGCCCGGGCGGGCCGGGCCCGGGACGGCATAGTAGTGCAGTGCGGAGAGCTCGGCCCCCCGAAACTCCGCACTTGACCCCACTTTCCTGCATGTATAAGGAAGCTTGCCTCCGTCTCCGATCCGTTCGATCATCCTCCAAGTTTTTCGCCCCTTGCCTCGTCCGGTGTGGTTGCCATCTTTTGCCCCGATACAAGCTGAGCTTTGCCACCTTTGGTAACCATCTCCTTGATTTGGCATTGATTAGGCCTATCAGCAGTCCAACGATGGAGACTTCGCGAGAAACCGCAGACTCTGGTCAAAGTTCAGTCACAGAGCCTGCTGAGCGTGGGGGCAGCGAGCGTCACAATCTTTCTGTGAGTGGAGTTCTGCTCATTTGCCTTCTAACCCGTTTGGATCTTCCTGAAGCAACAAAGCCGGATCGTTGTTCCCGCGTGGCGTGCCGAATTTGTGCTGCGAATGGGGCAGAATTGACTGACAAACCTGAGTTTGACAGTGTGACAGTTGCCGTCTGCGAAAGGTACTTTTCCACGGGATTGAAACCAGATAACGAAGTCAACTGTTTTAATATTGACAGCCTTTTATCAGGTCGGCTGTGATCGTCAAAAACCGTGTTCACGATGCCGCCGCCTAGAAGTACAATGCACATACGTGATGGGATACAAAGCAAGACCGAAGCGAGAACGCAGTGGTGTCTCCTTGGGTCATCTGTAGGTCATGCATGCTGCCTTGTGAACCGGTCTTGGCTAAGCCCATGTCAGTGAGGGAAAGGTAGATGACATTGCTGAAAAGCTCCAAAAGCTATGCATCATGCTGGAGAACAACAGTCGGCCCAAACAGATCAGGTCAACACCAAATGTCGTGGGTTCGAGCGGAAGTCATCAGGTTCTAGCAGACTCAGGGACAAGTTATCAAGGAAGTCAAAGGGACCCCCAAGCTCCTCGCGATCAGGTCGAGTATGAGGGTGATTCGTCCCTAGCTGCCCACGCGGACTTCACAACTCGAGTTTTGGAGAATGCTATTACTACGGACCTGCCAATATCCCACTATGACGAAATGGCGTCCATGATGAAGGATATTCGAAACACCATCAGGACAGTCAGTTCCCTTAATAGTAATGTCGCAGGTCCCTGTCATGCAACACCGCCCGCCGGAGAAGACTATCCGCAGGAAACACTGCCGCCCGTGCAGCTCACGTTGAACTGTTTACGCATGCTAAAAGGTTAGTGAAGTAGATGTTTTGCTGGAGGCATCCAATAGATGTTGCGGTGCCATACAGGCTGTCCTTGATTAACATCACTGGCAACAGAAACTCCAATGATGAGGTACTTCTGGATGATGCAGTTTGAATCTGTAGGCCAGGTCACTGAACAGCTGCTCGGCGTCTACTCAACCGATAGAGCCCCATCGATGGCAGAGTTGATAATCGCACATATTGGTCTTTACTGGCTGTTCACTCAAAGCGGTCAATTCTCGACCGATACCTCTGTTCAACGGACGTATCTGTCTTACGGCTCTGCATGTCAGAGTCATGCGGACTCTGTCCTCTCGAAGCTGTCTTTCCATCTTCCCACGTCGGTAGACTACATTCTAGCCCTTACAATGGCTGTAAGTACGGCCCATCTATTCCGACCTCAGAGACCTACCATACATAGCATATTGCGCAGAATTGTTCTGACAGCGGGGACAATCCAGACCGAATACTGTATGGGCCAGTGTAAACCAACTATGGCATGGACCTACATCAGTACGGCATCTCGGATGAGTCAAGCTATGGGCTTGCACCGCATAGCTTCTCAACAGGACCATAGCTTTGACTCTGAGACTCGTCAAAAGTCCAAACTGTTCTGGGCCATGTTCATCTTGGAGAAAAACCTCTCGTTGCAACTCGGCCGATCTTCCACACTCCGCGATCACGATATCACGGTCCCACTTAAGGCCATCAAGATGGGATACCAGATAGGGGGCTCGCTAGGCGTTCTTTCTCCAAAATGGCTACGAATTTCGCAAATTGAGGGCAGGGTGTACGATGAGATCTACAGTCCAGAAGCACTACATCAAGGCGCCAACACGAGGAACTCCCGAGCTCGGAGTCTGGTAGCTGACCTGAAGGAAATCATCAATGATACAGACTCGTACGAGGTATGTAGTGTCCAACAGTCTCCGTAGTTTGACTTTGCTTTTCGTGTCGCTGACCCGATTCTGTAGAGTGAGTTCCTTCAAGAAAGAAGACGAGTCCTCGGAAACACAATCGACGACATTTTCATCCAATGCGACAAGATCTCAAATCTATCTCTTATGTGCTTGATTTACCGCAGTGTTTGCCAGGACAACGTACCTTTCTGCGAAGAGTGCATCAGCACAGCTAGAGAGGCTCTTGAAGAACACACAAGAAGCATGTCTCTGATCGATTCCCGCGACACCCACCTATTTGACATGTGTATCAATTGGTTGCTTCTACCAGTCCCAAATTTTCCAAGTTTCACGGGCTGACGTCTGCGCGCAGGACGCTTCTTTCATCCACCTTCGTCCCATTCTTTGTTATCCTTTGCAATGCAATTTGGACAGTGAACACGGCAGACCTCGAACTCCTAGGCTCGTTAGTCAGTTCTTTGGAGGCTGGTCAGGACCGGGATACATTCAGCGCCAATCATCTGCTCGAGACCTTCAAACCGTTGTACAACGCAGCGTTCAAGTACATTGCGGCAAAGTCTCATTCTGCCTCAGGGTCAATGTCTGAAAATATTACCTTCGAAATGATATACCACCAAACAGCACCAGTGGCGGATCCAGGACAATGGCACAACATCTCGGTGCTGACGTCGCTGGACCAGTTCATGTCGCAGTCGGCTCCATCCGCGCCGATGGTTCTCAATGGCACCGGCTTCGCTGATCTAAATAACAGCGGTTCTATATCACAACCACGGCCGACTGGGATTGATACCGATGATGGAAATTTGCGTCAATCTAGTACTGGTCATCAGATTACTGGAGCAAGGACGCAGGCTTCTCAATTGGAGGAGTGGTTCCTGCAAAGCCGCCACGTGATGGACATGATGGAGGATGCTCGTCGTGATTCTTAAGTCTCGGGCATGCCTGGCAAAGATGTATTCTATTTGCCTAATCTAGATCATGATTGGTTTTGCTCGCTGGATATTCCCCAACAAGTCAGCATGCCCAGCCGCTTTCTCATTTCCATCTTTGCCTTCAAGTCATCCAGAATTCATGACAGAGTGGCAGAGCCTCCTCGACTATGCAGCCCATCAAGCAGGCCCATAATCCTCTTCTTCATCCTCCTCCACTAACTTCGTTCGGAACTCAACCAAGGCTTCATAGCAATCCTGTCGTCGGAACCTTGCCAGGTTCGGCCACCCGTGCTCTCGATAGATATCGCGAGCGTCCTATAGTTTTTCGTAATGCCGTTAGTCTGGCATGCCACTAGAGCACATGCAATATGACAAAACTAAAAGTAGAGACACATACCTCAATCCCGGGGTCTGCCAAATCATCTTCCTCTTCCTCCCCCTCTCGAAGCGCTCCCCAAATTTCGGGATAATACTCTGCGTCCTCCGTGTCAGGGCGAGGCAAAGGCACCAAGTCAAGGGAATACAAGCTGTCAACGAGCGCATCAAAGAACGGTCCGGCAGGTCGCGGCGGCGTCCACAGCCACGGCTGATCGTTCGGGGCATCATGAACCTGCTTGTTGCCAGCATCGTAGACGATGACGGTGCCAGCGTTAGCATCGATGATCCACCACTCGCCACTGTCGCTGCCCTCGCCGCCGCCGCCCGCGATGGGAACCAGACCGTCGGGCATCTTTTCGGCGAAAGGGAAGAGACCGTGAGCGCATAGGCGCTCGGGGGTGGCCTTGTCCGCAGTGAGGTTCTCGTTCAACTCGGGGTTGTCCTCAAGGTAACGCTGCGGTTCGCTGCGACCTATGACGGGCCAGCGGTTATCCTCGTGTGTCTCATCGACGTCAGGATACGGTAGGTGTCGTAATAGGTCAATGACACGGTCGTTGAAGCCCAGGTGGCGCGTCTTATTGGCCGGCAGGAAGGCATCATCACCCCAGCGCCCGCCTGGCGGGTACTGGATGAGCGATGCAGGAAAGAATGCCATCTTGGCCAGCGTTTCGTAGTACTTTGTCAGGCCGGTAACGATGATGTCTCTATCATAGCCAGTGGGGTATGTCGCAGGATCTCTTCTTTCTCGTGGCGGCGGTCGGGATTCGTGCCGGGAGGCCTCTGCCTTTCGCTTTCTGGACTCGCGTTCTTGTCGATCCTTCAAAAAGGCTTCCAAGTCTTTCTGGCACTTCTTGCGGTCAAAGGCTGGCCCAGGTCCGCGGCCATGCTGCCAGCCTGCCAGCATGTAGGTCTGGTACATGGAGGAGGCGATCTCTCGGCGATCAGGGGTGGAGAATCCAGGCTCGATGCCGTCGACCAGGCCGGGAATGGGGTAGTAGTCCTGGCCGAGCATCGCGGTTACCTCTGCGAAAAAGTCTTTCGGGCTGTAAGATGGTGCCTTTTTCCATTCGGCCTCGAACTCCTCCGCCAACGTCTCGCCGCGTGGTGGTCCCGCGTACTTGACAATCCGACCACTCTTACAGTCCACAAGCCACCATTGCGGACCGTAAAGCGTGTATTCGCCGGCAGGGTACGTTAAGCTGATCATATCTGGGGGAAGATGAACTAGCTCAAACAAGCCCTCCAAATATTCCTCCAGTAGCGAGCTGCGGTCTCGCAAGTATCGAATGCCCTTAGTTTTGGGGCAGATGGGTCATTGCCCCGTATGAGGGCCTGCATCGACGGGCCGTAAGTAGGGAAGGCAGCGTAGGAGGTCCACGGCAGTATTGGACCGGCCTAGGATAGTTCGTAGACCATCTACGTCCAGCTCAGAGTCGCTCCATCCCTCGAGCGGGGGATGTTGGATGTTGTCGGGCGATAGGTAAGGCACTGTGGCTAACTTGTTGTAAATTGCGTGAGGCCTTGGGCAAAGTCGCGATGAAAAGAAACGCTCTCCATTGGGACAGTTGAGATCCATCTGTCAACACTTTGGTACACCAAAGAAAACGTGGCGGGCGGGGGCAAAACGCTACCAACATGTATGTTGGCTATCTGCAGCCAGCCGGCAATTAATTTATGCTCTGAGGAAGGCAGACGGTGAAGGCCAAAGGCTGTTGGAGGGGCCATCGGGGCTTTGTATTGAAGAAGCTAGCATGTCTCGGCTTGCATCCCTCTTGCATGCATAATGCACCCCTGGCAGTAAGCACGTTGGTTGAGTTTGGGGCTCTGCAGCAAAACACGACCGATCCCAACACCGATCTGTTCGATCACCCATTGTAATCTCTGCGCAGAATTGGAAGGACAATTTAGACGAAGTGTGCGTCGGCGAGTTTATGGTCTAGGGTGATCGAATGGTCGAGGTTGAGACACTCGTAGCGCAGTTCGTTAAAGGTCTTGGGCTTTCATGTCTGCACTCCTCTTCAGGCCAGCGGTGCCTTCTCGAGTGGATGGGTTCAGACATCATCACACCAGACTTCACTGCTAACCCTTTTAGATCCCTGGTTTACCATCCCAGCGAAATTGAGCGCCGAAAACCAGCGTATAGTTAGCTTGTACGATGACCAGTTGCCCTATTCTGAGTGCTCTCACAACCTTGTGTACAAGCGGGAGACTGATACTGATCATTCCGATTATCTCGTGAACGAGATTCAAGATATTCAAGACATATGCCAGATGATGGCTACGAGAGTGCCGCCTCAGTACCGGTCGGCGACAGATGGCATCGGTTGGGAGCCTACCGAGCCCGGCAGTCCAAGCACAACACAGGCCACCGCTGCAGCCACTGCCACCGCTGTGCCAGACCCTGATCCCGACTGCGAGCTGGGTCAATGGGTTGACATATTCGCTACGGGAGAACCAACGCTTGCTGAGACTGACTTGGAGAGGTGCAATGAGCTAGCTGAGCTTCATAGCATCGCTACCGGCGACTTGATGGTGACAACGCGCAGTTCCTCTTGCACCATGGAGTCACAAGGCCCGTTGGATGATGGTGACTCGGACGAAGTCAGATTCTGCGGATCACCCGCGTGTCAGCTTCTTCGGGTGAATGAAGGGGACACCTTGTAAGTGACTAGAACGGCTTAGTCTGTCACACTACGGACATTCGCCAAACGCAGTGATTCCATTGCAGCAGCAGTTTCGAACGATACAACTCCCATCACTGCCGTATGGCTCGCTACCTGGAACCCAAACGTCATTGGGGCATGCGACCCCTTGGTCCCAAACCAGTATGTCTGCATCACTCGTCGCGGTGGCTCTTGGGTACGTCCTCTGGAGTCGCGAGATTCCTGACGATGGCGAAGGGCTGGTTCGTGGGGGACTAGGGAGCACTCTCAGTCACCCCAGTCTGGAAAACCCAGCCTCGCCGCCTGCGAATGTGCAAGAAGACATCGCGCCTAGCTGCAACCGCTATGTCTAGGCTAACTAGCGCTGTATACTAATTAAATAAGTTAAGCCTGGGGGTTAGGCTTAACTATTTAACTAGATTTTTACTAAAAGCTTACTTAACTTAATAGACTTAATTTAATTTAACTAATATTACTTATTTAGGAAGTTAGTAAAGTTCTTATAATATCTTAATATATTAGAAATATACCTATTTAGTATTATAATATTATTCTATTTCTTATTAACCCTTCTACTTAAAGTAATACCTATTAATAGTAATATTACTACTTTAAACTTAGTTCTAGAGGTATTATATCTCCTTAAGTAATAATAGTTTTATTAATAGTCTCTATAATATTAATATTAATTTAGTAAAACTAAATACCCTCTTATAGTTAATTATTATTATTAGGATAATAAAGATATTAAGAGCTAACTTATTAAGTATTAAGAAAATCTACTAATATAAAATCTACTACTAAATAAAATTATTAATAAACTAAGTAATTATAAAGTTAAAATACTTCTCTAATTTATTAATCTTATTAATAGTAGTATTATAAAAGCTACTATCTAATTATTAATTATAATTAGAGTTTTTAAGTTTTAGAGGTATTATAATTAATATAAATAACCTTTATAGAGGTTTTAGATAGGTTTACTTATTAGTATAAATAGTTATCTTAATATACTACTACTTTTAGTATTTTTAAAGACCTTCTTTAGTAATATAAAACTACTTATAAATCTCTTAGGTATTTTAATATTTTTTAAACTATTATAGACCTCTATTAAGGTATAGTATTATAGTAGTAGTATAGAGAGGAGATTCTCTAAGTTTTTTATAGTAGTTATTAAGTATTTACTAGCTATTAATAATTAATAAGCGTATAAATATATAAGAGTTAAAATTAGTAACTTAAGGGGGGTATAGTAATATAATAATATATTTAGACTATAAATAAATAGGGATACTATTAATTAATAAGGTTTATAAGATTAATATTTAGCTAGATTAATATAATACCTTTATTAATTAAGATTACTATAATAAGAGATTTTAGAATATTTATATAGTTATAAAATTAATCTCTTCTATAATAAGGGTATTATAAAACTTATACTAATCCTTAAGTTAATCTAAGAGATATTTAAAGCTTACTAAGATCTTTTAAAGTTAATTATACTTATTATTTTTACTTTAACCTTTATATTACTTAGTTTATAAATAAAGAGGCTTAAGTATCTTATTTAACTTAATAAGGACTTATTAATCCTTATTAGTTAAGATATCTTTATTAGGGATATAATTATCTTTATTCTTAAGATTTAAGGAGTAGTATATATAACTAATAATCTAACTATATTTAAGTAAGGTATAGTAAATTATATTATATATTAAGTTTTATTAAGTAGTATTACTTAATATTAGATTTAGCTCTTATAATAACTCCTCTTATAGAGTAAAGGTATATTTATTATTATTAGCTTTATTACTAATAAATAAGAAGGTTTCTAAGTATTATAGTAATAATTTAATATACTTAATAATATTCTAAAACTTATTAATAAGTCTTTTAGTCCTCTAATAAGCTAGGTCCTCTTAGATCTTACTAATATTAATAAGATAGTTAAACTCTTATTTAAATACCTCTTTATTAACTTTATAAATAATAATATAACTAATAAGGTTAAAGATATAGTTATAATATTAAATTTAATAATACTAAATATCTATTTTTATATATAACTATAAAATAGATAGATATAAAGCTTTAATATAAGTACTATTAGTACTAATATTATTAAAAACTATAATACTAATCTTATTAAATAGGTACTAATCTCTTATAACTATATATATTATAGTANAGTAATATTCTTATTAATATAAGTATTAAGCTAATAATAGAGATTTAAGAAGTATTATATTTATTTACTTAATTTATTAATAAAGTAGCTAAAAATAGTAATAATAATATATTAATTAGGTGAGGTCTATAAATTAAATAATATATAAATTTTTATAAAAGCTTTCTATATCTCCTCTTTAATCTATTACTTCTTAGAGATATAAAGTTATTAAAGTTAATCTTTCTAATTAGTCCTTAATTAATATATCTAAATATTAATATTATAATTAAATATAGTAAGTATATACTATATATACTAATTACTAAATATTATAAAAGGGTTATTAGTATTAATAAAGAAACTTATAATTAACTTTTTAATTTAAATAGTTTTCTTTTTAGGTATAGTAATAAGAATAGATTAGTAGTATTTAGATAGAGGCCTAAAGTTATTAGTTTTATTAGGAGATATATTACTACCCTCTAAGTAACCTTAAAAGACCTTATACTTATTCTTAAGATATTAAGTAGTAGTAGTTATAGCTTTAGTATTATATAGCTTATTAAGAGTTCTTATTTTATTATAGTATTAGTAAACCTAATAAGTATTACTTTTCTTACTATTAGTAAGGATTTTATAAATAAAAGTATCTTTATTTATAATCTAAGAAGTATAGCTTTAAGAACCCTTCTTTATAATAGTATTAATATTAATAAACTACTAACCTCTCTATATAGTATAAAGTAGAGCTTTAAAAGTATTATATATAGCTAGGTTAATAGTTAATATATTATTAGTAGTAATAGATAATATATAAATCTAAGTAGTAATCTTATAAAGAGTTAATAGTTTATAGCTAATAAAGTAATTAATATATTAATTATAAATTAATAGAAGTATTATAGTAACTAATAAGGAGTTAAAAAAGATATTAAGAGTTATATATAAATAGGTCTTTAAAGTATAGAAGTATAGTAATAGTAATAGTAATAGTAGTACTAATAGTACTAATAGTAATATTAAAAAAGGGTTATTTTTAAGAGCTAGTATAGAGGTTAAAAATAGGCTTTTTTCAACTTCTAGTAGAGGGGCTAGAAATATATTAATTTAATAGTAAAATAAAAAGTATATTTTTAGTATTTTTAGTAGTTCCTAATAGTATTAACTTTACTATTAAGAAGTATTTAGCTTTATTCTACTACTTATTAGTCTAAAGATATTACTAAATTAGTATTAGTAACTATTTAACTTTTTTTTTTTTAGAGATATATTATAATAAAACCTAATAGGTTAGTAGTAAGTTTATTATATAAGTAATTATAGAGATATTAATTTAAAACTAGCTTAAGTTATCTACTTTAAGTATAAAAGTTATAAGGGTTATAACTTTAAGTAATTAGAATAAAACTAAGTACTAAAATATCTAAGTAAGCTTTTTTTTTTTTTTAAAAAAAAAAAATCTTTTAAAAATTCTAATTAGTCTAGAGGTTAGATTTATATTATTTTAGGTAACATTAACTTAATTAAATTAACTAAGCTTTTAGTACTATAGGCTTATCGATTTAAATAGCAAAAAGCCTATAATTTAATTAGTTGATTGATTGATTGATTGATTAGGCTTGAATGGGGTGCTACGCTGAGGCCAACAGCACGGTTGCCTCATGCTGGAAGATTGCCAATGACGGCGGTAACTCGCGAGCGCGTCTGTTCGAGCTCATCCTTGTTCTCGGCAAGCCCGGCGAGCGCTGCAATACGCAAGTGTGGCTTGGCTGCTACTACTGCGTCCGCACCACCGGCCAAGGCCCGACCACCACGGCCCCACCGGCGACGACGTCGGTGCCCACCTCGGAGCCGACGGCCGTTCCCACGCCGTCGCCCAATCACGAAGGCACAACTCCTAACTGCAATAAATGGGCTGAAGCCCAAGACGGCGATTGCTGCTGGAAGATGGCCAACGACGCCGGCATCGATCTCAGCTCTTTCTACGAGTGGAGCACGGTGCTGGCGAATGGAGACAGCTGCGACATGATCTGACCCGGGTACTTCTATTGTATCGGGGCGAAATCAGACCCGCCGACTACTACCACACAGGCGCCCCGGGCGATAATTGTGGAATCCAGGTGTGGCCTGAATACTATTATTGCGTCGGGGTCAGCGGGTAAAGTGATCTATAAGAGATAATCTTGACTCTTGGTGTTTTTTGCACTATAATTAAACTTTCTGGCATCAAAGGCAGATTTTGTGTCTGTTCTGGATTTATTTAGGATGTCTTGAATCAAGTGACCAATCTCCATACTTCTTCCTAGTCCCTTCATTTGCCAGGCCAAACGTTTGCATCGCCTGCGCCGTCCTGGAAAACGGCATGAAAGTGCGACTGATTTTACACCCCATGTTTGGTTTCAACAGGAGTGTAGAAGCTTATAACTATCATAGTAGACACCACTCCGTTTCTTGCAAGCCTCCAAGTCGGGTCGTTGCGGTTGGAAAAACTCACTTGTCTTCCGTGCTATCCCCTTGATTACCATGTGGACAGCCTAAGGCTGGTGTATGCTAAGGTAACTCTCAAAATCAATCTAACATTCACGTCTGCTGTAGAGACCTCTAGTCTTTGGTACCTCCCCAAGTCTTTATCTTCCTATCACATCTTTAAAACATGCTTCCTGCACATCAACCTTTGCAATCCCGAATGAGAATAACACACTGGGAATCGAATGCTGTTCAGTCCGTCTCACCTCCATGGCCTGGTTCAACCAACCCGAAAGAGACCTGTCGGTCTCTCTTTCAACCACTGGTCGTATTTGGGACTCGGGCGCCGGACCCCTGACCAGAGCCTTTCAAGAGAATGCGTATATGCGTACTCATCCGGACGAATCAGTCCTACTCTAGACCAGCTGTTGTTACTTTCGGACTGCAAGACCATAATAATGTCGTTCCCGATCCATTCACCCCAGTATATGCATTGCCGGCCCTTTCCTTCTTCTAGACTTTGTTTGAAACCTAGCGCATCCCAAGGACCGGCCGACAAATGCAGCAACAAATTTATGTGGCCCAGCTTCAAAGTTGGGGGAGATGACGAGCTATCGTACGAGAATAAAGAAGCAGGAACCAATGGTGCCCTAAACTGGAGATACGTCGGGCCGGAATCGAGTCTTTCTCCGACTCTCAGGCTCTGAAGATGATGGGACAACTCGATCGCTGTGCCAGTTCCAGTGATCACCGACATCGACGTGACCTCAACCCGTTTGAGTAAGAAATTTCCCTTTGAACTGGTACTTGCCAAATGAGCTTTGCCGGCCCAGCCAGCCCACGACCATGATGGAAATCCCTTTCTGCGACGTGGTCTAGGTTTAGTCTGATTCTCTTCAGACCGACCATTATGAAACCACATCAGCGAGTCCAGGAAAGACTTCAGAGCCTTATCTGGCATGCTTGGCAAGTATGAGATTCCTTGAATCTGGAAGATTTGACTCTGAGACGTTTCAAATTCGCGAACTATTCCGCATAAAGCCCTCAGGGAGTCTTCGTCTTTCGTCAAGTCTCTGGCGGTGTAACGACGAACTATCTCGGTAAAACGGGAGAGATTACGGGTTGGTGAAATAGTTGCTTCGTCGAACATGCCATACTGTTCATAGAGGTCACCACGACCAAAGATTCCCGCTCGCATCACGTTCCTGAACTTTGACTTGTTCTTCACGTGGAATCTCTCCAACGATGGTGAGAGACTCTCTTGGCAGTTCATGGCGTTGCATTCGAAATAGACCTGGTCGTCTGTGAAAACAAGTCGACGACGACTGAGAACTGCTTCTTGAAGTGTCCAGCCTCTCGTAGACCACTTCGATGATTGGATTGCTTTTTCAGGGTGTCTGAGCGTGGAGACGATGTTGATATCTCTGATGACGAGTGTCGGGTGCGGCTGGCGGTGCTTATTGCCTATTCCAGGTAAGCCATACGTCGGATCAGACCCAGCAGCGGCAATGATCGTCAACTCTGCATTGTGATAAATTGAGTCCATCTGACTGATTTGAGCATCTTTTTCTTTTCCGTCATTCTGGTCGATACAGAACTTGTCTATCCAGAGGTGTTCGAAGCCCATGTCCATAGTAACAGCCATCGCATCTCGAATGACTGCTGGAAGACATGTCCGTGACGGCATATAGCCAAAGGAATGTCAAAGTTCAGATTCTGTTGAGGTTTCCTCTGTCAATAATTCTCCCCACACGTAACTTAAGGCCACGTATTTCGCGTCTGGCGGCGCTGGTCTCACGATCGACGAACGGCAGTCAATCAGCCAGAGACCTTCGGTTTTGCGTGTGGCTCGTGAACACAGCTTTTTGTGATGATCCATGCAGAACTTGATCCATGTCTTCCCGAGAGAAATGTCGAAATTTGGCTCGACAAGTCGTGGTGCAAATACATCGGGCGGGGGAGAGCCACGTCGCCGGAAAATAAGAAAGCCTTGTTTCTCCCCCCGTTCGATCATGATACGCCCTTCGAACCTTCCAAAGACAGAACCAGATGGCACGATAGCCAAGTACCGAGCATCGTCTCCCTCAAGAAGACTTCGTGTCTCTTCGTAGTAGGGGTTAGGATTTACCCAAGGGTTATGCCGGGAAACCGAAAAAGCACGCAGTTCATCAGTGTCCTGTGCGTCTTCTGGCCTGTCGACGAGCACTTTGGTTTCAAGCCGTGAGTCGCGGAGCAAACGACATAAGTGGCAGCTCGGAACCGATGGCCGGCGATAGTATGTTCCAACATCGGCGATCTTGATGTCGAGTTGCGACCAGCTTTTCCAATCATTGACTTGGGTGGCTGAATCTTCGAATGCTTTCTCTAGATCAAGTTCCAAGCACTTGGCGCAAAAGTTGCTTGGGTGCTTAGGGCTTGCAGGACAGTCTCGGATTGCAATCTCAAGGGTCGATCCCCTACGCTTCGATTCTGTTGTTCGAGGACTCGCAGCCATATTCCTCTGCAGAGAATACCAAAGGCCTTGAGTTCTAAGATGACAGGGTTGAAAAGGCAGATTGGTTGGGCGTTCAATTGGTATCTGATATCAGGATGACTAGTGGTGTAAAAATTGGGCCGTAGAAGGGGCCATAAGACCCGAATAAAAACTTTTCAAAAGGTTCAGAAGACTTATTTGGCAATGTAAATTTACATATTTCAACGTGTTTGAGCACTATTGGTCAAAACCCACACGTGTGAAGCCGTTCGCCTTGAAATGAACCCCGCGATAAGCATATAAGCCTCTGGGACCCAGTCCTCCAATGGAAGCTGGTGATGTCCGGGCCAAGCCACGCCTTCATGCGCGGTACTTTCTGGCCTCAAGGCGAAGTCTGGAAGCTGATATGAAACTTGCCTTGATTGATGTATAGCACAAGACCGATCGATAACGGAATAGTACATCACGGTGTATCCATCGATAAGGAGACGACCTCGAGCGATGCAGCCCAAAATGTCAATTCAGATTGTTGCTTGATGTGACAAAAAGATATGGCAAGAGCATTTTGTTATCTGTGGCTGCAAATCTCATTCCGCGAAAAGATGAGAAGTTTATGCCGCTCACCAGGATTACAGACACCTGGGAGGATGCCGTGGTGAAATAGGTGCCGCTTTGAAATTGATTTAGTCTGGAACGTAACAGAAAACTTTGCAATATGAGCTCACGATTATCAAAGATGAGTTTATTCTGGCTTTTAGTACAGAGATATTGCAAAGAAAGTCCACTAAGAAGACCCAAAGTAATAAACATAACCTCTCTGACATCTATCTTCAACGCCGCTAATCCGTGAAACTTTCCCCGATGGACCATGGGAGCACGAGACGGAACGTCGCGCGAACTCCTGAGAGCTACCGCCGTTGGTGATACTTAGCAGCGATCGTCTTCAGAGCAATACCGCCATGCGACCACCTCTCTGCATGTCCCGAAAAGCCGGCTATTGTCAGTAGGAAAGGGTAAGTTGGACGGTTTCCGACACTGTCTCACACACAGCATCATTGTTCTGGAAAGGAAGTACTACGAACGCGCCAACAAACACGAGACGGTGCTACTGTAAAGCAGTCTGATGAAGGTCACCAAGCAATGCGTTTGCCAGCAGACGCCAATTGAACCTGTCTTCCAAGATCGCTGCGATTCGTCCGCGTCCCCCAAACACGGCGTCATATACCCAACAGTCACGTCACGAGAAGCAGAATCGAATCCGCATGGATAGTTGTGCACTCGTCGTCAGTCATTGATTTGGGTATACGAAAAGTATAAAAACTAGACGGCCACGCCGAGTGGCGGCGGGCAAAGAAGCCAACAGAAAAGATTCAAACATGCAAAACAAAAGCCAGACCCAAAACTCCCACAGCTATGCACGTCTTTTTGAAGCGAACGCTTGATGCGATGTCCTCCACTTCCATCACCGTCCTCGTCCTCCGTCGTCCATCATCGTCCTTACTTCTTCTCCGCGATTCTTCTGCTTCTCTTCGCGGGCGTCCCGTTCACAGCCCCGACAACCTCCTTCTTGGCCGCCGCAGTCACCTTCTTCGTCGTCTTGGTGACCTTGGCCCCCTCCGTCTTGGGGCCCGCGGCAGCCGCCGGGGTGCCAGGTTGACGGAGCTTTGATGGCGCCGCCGCCTTGGCGATCTTCGTAGTCGCTGCGGGCTTCTTAGCCGCGGCAGCGGGGGTAGCAGGGGCGGCAGTGACAGCCTTCGTCGTCGCCGTCGCCGTAGCCTTCGCTGGCTTCTTCGGCGTAGCCGCCCTCTTCACCTTCGTGGCCTTGCCCACCTCCTTCGCCTCCTCCTGGCTGAGCTCCGGCGACGGGGAGAGCAGAGGGGGTTCCTCGCTCTGGCTCCTAGCCAGCTGCTCTGCCCACGAGACGTTCTTCCCGTCCTTCTTAGCAGCGGCGGCGGCGCGGGTCTCGACGGCCGGGCCAGCGTTCTTAAGCTTCTCGAGCATCTCGTCCGCCGGGATCGCGCCTCCCTTGTTGGTCTTCGTATTCTGGCGCGTGAGGGTCGCGAGGTCCTTCTCGCCGTTCCTGACCTTGGCAACCTGGTGGCGCATGGGTATTCTGGTCGCCACGGGCGTCTCACCGCGGGCGGCAGCGCGCTGGGCGCGAGTGCGGACGCCAGGCACAGGGCCGTTGGCGGGAGGGGCACCGTCAGGGTCTGCTTCCAGGACGGGTGTAACGTTCACTATCCCCTTGTCGTCCTCACCGTCGTTCTTTTCGGGCTTGCCGGGCGTATTCTTGTCGGCCTTGGCCTTCCGCGGCTTCTTGGAAGCGGGCTTCTCAGGCGAGGGCTCCCGCTCCTCGACACCGTCAGCCTTTCGCTTGACCTTCTTGGGGCTCGGGCTGTTAGCATCGAGCACGCCAAGAGGCTGACGGGTCGAGGAGGGGGCGGGTGAGGCGAGAGTGCGCGGGCATTCAACGGAGAACGAAGGGGTGTCGGCCCAAATACCCTGGGGACGGCGCTCGGGGGTGGCGGACAGCAGAATCGGGGCACTCGGCATGGGCGACACAACGACCGGAGCACTGGCAGCTGGGGCGGTGGCTTCGGCGGCACGGGCAGCGCGTGAGGCAGCGTGCCGAGAGACGAAGCTCCTAAGCAACGCCAACTCGGAATCGTCGTCCACCTCTACATCAGCGGTCTCCGCGACAAGAGTCTCCACAGCCTCGGTGGGCACTTGCAAAACGTCATCTTCCTCCTCTTCGTCAAGGTCCTTCTCTTCATCGTCCTTCTCGGGGGTATTCTGCTGGACGGAGATGATGGGGACTGGCGAGGGTGAAGTCGGCAGGACGTCTGGGGAGATTGGTGTAGCAGACTCGTTCGCGTCGACAGGTGAGAAGGCGGCAGCAGACGCGTCAATGGGCGACCCGGCGCCGACGGGAGAAGACGACGCAGCAGCAACAGCGGCAACCTCAGTGAACAGCGCAGCATGCTCATCCGGCACCTTAAACCGAACAATCAAACGTCCATCCAACCTCTCAACAACAACCTTGGCGTCCTTCGCTTCCTTATTCTCCTCAAATACACGGGCAAGGGAAGCCAAAGCATGAATGGGCGAACCAACTCTCTCCTGCGACGACCCAAAGATATCCATGTTCTCTCTCACGTCAACCACGACAGAAGCGGGGGACGAGCTTCCGGCCTTGGGCGACTCCTCAACAGCGGGCGCGGGCGAAGCCTCAGGTTCCGAGCGAGAAGATGCTGAATCAACCGTAATGGGATTCTGCACCTGTGACTCGCTGAGCTCAACCACCGAAGTGGGAGCAACCACCTGCGACTCGGATGCTGGATCTTGGGCAAGATTCTGCACCGACGAGTGCTGGTCGGAACCGGCGACGAATTGAAGAGATGCGCGGCGGGCGGGCGAAGAGAAGGAGAGAGGTGTGATAGCGAAGGCAGGGAGAGAGCGGCGCTTGTTCTTGAAGGCCGTCTTGGCGGGCGTGCGATCCTTAAACACAACGACCGGGCTAGCGATGGCGGGGCTTGCGGCGACTTCGGGCTCGGGTGCCTGCTCGGGCTGTTGCTCTTCCTCGACATCCTCAACGAATTCGGCTTCATCCTTCTCGCTGGTCTTAGAAGCGCTAGGGGAAGACATAAACGAGGGGCACTGGAAAGTAAACCCGGGACCAATGGGGGAAGAAAGTGGCTCTGCAGGAGCGGGAGAGGGAGAGGGAGGCTCGGGAATGGAAGCCATGCTTTCGATTCTCGCGCGCAGGTTGTCGGCGCCTTGAACCAACCTCAGCTTGCGACTTGCGCTGGAATGATGCGTAGCCGTCGAAGGGAAGTGTGGCAACTTGGGCGTCGGGCTCTGAGGCTCCTCATCCTCCTCAATGATCGAGACTTCGGGTTCGCCGTAGACTGCAATAAGCTGTCGAACGTTTCGTGCGCGCCGCGTTCTCCGACCCTGGGCCTTGTCTGATTCCGCGATGAGATGCTCGAGGACAAATTCGTAGGAGAGCTCGGGCTGGGGGAACTCGAGCAGCTGCTGGATCACCATATGCGTGAGTAGATCATTACTGTACGCGCGCTTAGGCGTCCCCTTGTAGCTGCGCTTCGAACAAACGGGTACCATAGGCTCGCCGTGCCTCTTCATATCCGCGAGGTACTGTTTGCGGATCTCAC